GAAACGAAGATATACAACGTCTCCTCATTTTGCACTGGAAATTAATTAACATACAAGTATAGTATAGGAATAAAATTAGTAGTGTGAAATAATTAAAAAAAGACTTCTTTCTCGCTTGTGATTGAATGATTTTATAACAGCCGTCGACGAGCTCACTTGTTACAATTGCAATTTAAATTATGCACAAGATAGACGCAAAACGTGGTAATAAACTTGATTTAGCTATGCTCACGGCGTCTGTGGGGTCATAATCAGAGCTGAATTTAGAAAACTTTGAAAGAATGATATGGCAAATGCTCTGTATTATGTGTTGTCTTTACGTTTCCAGAGTTGTTTGGAGCTCGCAAGAAATCTTCACAATCTGGTTGACTTTCAGCGTCCTTCACGCATGCAATGTATTTGTAGATGCTCTCTTTAAGATAATTCAAAGGCGAGGGTCCATGCCTTAGAACCTGTGGAGATATAGGGAGCAAGTTATTGGAATTATTTGGTTTATTAGGAAAACTGGATATTGAATCGGCCCCTACTGTTACATTCGATCTTTCCGAAAGCAGGTGCTATTTGTATATAGCAAAAATCCTATCGTATTTTCTCGGGAAAGTCAAAAGCGTAAGGGTTTCGATCATTTACTCCTTGTCAAAAAATGATAATTAACAGGAATGGAAAAAAAGGAATGAGGGATGGAAGGAGTTTATTTGAGGTCATAACAGCAACTCAAAATTGGTTTACAGCCATTCTCTGGGTTAAAAAATTATCCCTAAATGAAGCATGAAAGAAAATAACTTTTAAAAAAAAAATTTAAAAAGTGAAACACTTGATGCGAAACTTTAGAATCACCTGGAAATGAAAATCCTTCAAATTAAACTTCTCCCCCAAAGCTTTCTCTGCTTCTTGTTTCAGCTCCATGATTGACAGTTGTCCGAGCATGTAAGTGACAGCCTGGCCGGGAATGCTCTGGTACCGAGTTACCTCCTTCTCAACTTTGTCACTTGTGTCCCAAGCGTAATCAGCAAAGAGTCTTAGAGCCCAGTCACGTGACTTTCCTTTGTAATGCAACCCTGTGTCTACGATCAGTCTCAAGGCTCGCCATATCTTTTAAAATAAGATAAATGAAATAAGATAGGTCTCGCAAAAAAGCGTTGGATAGAAAACGTTATATTACCAGACCTCGGAATAAATTTCCATCAAAACCGTGTGTTTTGCAACCTACAAACAGTACCACCTCAGCGTGAAACAAACCTCAAATATTTCTTTGATAAAATAGAAAAACACCAAAATGGAAAGTTTAAATCAGTAGGAGGGAAAATGGTTAGGAAACTTAATACGAAAAGCAGACTTGATGAGTGACTTGAAATGGAAATTTTGGCTTAAAGTCAGGACAACTTATGACTTAGTGACGCCCTCAAATGTATCGAACATTTAGCTACCAAAAAAAAGCATTTGACCACTACAGGTCTTGTAAGCTTATGCATTGTCCATGTAAAATCAGCTATGCAGGACCCACTCGACAATCTATATCGTGACCCTAATTAAGGACTAACAGAGATCAAATATGCATTCAAACTCTGCTGCGTTTGGTGAGTAAATATACCTGCCATTTGAGCATGCCGTATCTGATCAGCGGATCGTATTTGTAAGTGTCCGTGTAATTTGATATCAGCGGATTTTCCGCGTAAAGAGCCCAGCCTTCAGAAAACTCTAAGAAAAACGTGTTCTTTTGGATCCATGAAATGGGATCAAAACAGTCTTCTTGAAAATTCTCCACATATCCTTGACTCTGGGATTACAACAAAAAAAAACAAAAGTGTTAGAGAGAAGTATTTTAGCTATATCAACTGAAAAACACAGAACCCGTAAGGGAGCTTGACTACATGCTAAATCCAAAACTGAAAGCAAGACTGTTTTGAAATTGTAACTTGATACGTGCTATGCTTGAGATTGGTAGAGAGATTAAATGAAAGTAGTAAATTAAACAGTGCTTTACACTACACAGTAACTTACTGTTTACAGGAATAACAACGATTTTCTTTACATTATCAGTGTCTAGAAATAATTTCTAAGTACTGTCATTTTAGGTGGAAACGGACTTTAATTGATTCTCTGTTACTTTTGAAACCGATATATCAAGATCTTCATTGATTCTCTCGCTTGAGGCACTACGGTGAACTAACCTGTGTGTAGTGTCCAGGCCTTGCCTCGTGTGCGTTTATTGTCCATTCCTCATTCCTAGGGCCGGGCTTTTGTAGGAAGAATGGGATGGTGTAAGTAGAGTGCCTTGTACACTGTGAATCACTCTCTTGGAAAGATGGAGCTGCAGAGGATGGGTTGAAGCTTGGGACGAGTTGAACGGGACAGTTTGGAGTGGACCGGAAAGGACCGGTAAAATGGAATAAGTCGATCGTTTTTGGATCAAGGGTGGCCATAATCTAAAATCAAGGGTAATGAGATCCCTTAAAAAGACTGACAACAACAACAACAACAACAACAAAAATTACAGCATAACACTAAATTTTCGTCAATTTCTTGCATAAGGCTGTGGTGTAGGTATCTGAAAAAATTGGAAACAGGTACTTATTCAGTCTTATGTGTCAAGTTGTTCATGAGTAGCAGCGGATTACATAGAGATAGAAGTTACATGGAAATTTTTAGTTTCATCTACATGTCATCTTAAAACAAGTACCCAGAGTTTTCTCAATGGAATGATATATATTCTGGTAACTGCAATCCAACATTTTTCAATTTTTTTAATTCAACGATTTTACTTCAAACAAGGTCCAAACTGACCTCTCGCGCATGAGCAAACCAGTTTTGCATAGCATTCCAGCGGACAGGACAATGCTTTTTGGCTCCGGAGACTGTACTGCACAGCTTATACGCAACTGCGTTGGATTCATTCCTTGGAATATCTTTCTTATTGTAAAACATTTCCGATCCATTAAGAATATTAATGAATTTTTCCCTCGCCCTCGGAGTGTTTTTCTCATTGGTTACACTTTGCGCTAAACTTAGAACCTAAAAGCAGAGAGAAAAGGGCAAAAAAGTCACATTGAGTTAAATTATAGGAATTTGCATATAATTATATAACTTTCCTTTGCCAAGGTAATAAGAGATGTTTTGCACTTTTAGCGATGCAATACGGAGAGTTTTGCTCAACTCGGCAAATTTGAGGAACAGATGATTGTGTATTCCAATGGTTCAAGGTTCAATGGTTCGAATAATTTTCCTTTGCCAACTCAAAGAGAGATGCTTTGCACTTTTGGCAATACAATACGGAGAATCTTCTCTCAACCCATCACAATTGTGGAACCGACGATTGTGTTTCATTTCCAATGGCTTAAGGTCAGCATTGATAGCATTCTCTCCATTACTTCCGCTCATAGAAGTTTATTGTTTAAATCACATCTAAATTTTGATTGCATTATATGACAATCTTGCCGAGTATGGTGCCAAAAAAATTGTTTTCAGCACGAAACTTAATTGAGCTTCTACGGCGAAAGTTCAGCGAAGTTGTTATCAAAGTCAAATTGATGACGATTTCGTTGCCGAGCGACTGGTCAAAGTCAAAGTCAGCTTTGAGTTAAGATCCCTCGTAAATGTTGGTCGTTCTTTTCGGTTCGTTGATTTGCTAAACTTGGCCAGTTCTTTACTCCAATTAAGACGGATTTCACAAACTCTTCGCTCTAAAACTTAAAGGGCAAAGAACAAAAACACTCATATCCAAATAAATGATTTTTCAAGACTTATCATCTTACCTCTGGATAACTTTGATCTATCATTGACCAGCCAAGGTCGTATATTTCATCCGGGGTTTTACTGGTGGTGGTGAAGTACTGAAGAAGCTTCAGATAGGTGGTTTTCCCGTCTAGCTTTTCGCCCGTGGGCAGCCTCTTGGTCGTTTTTCGGTCTGTCTTTGTACCGTTGACATAAACGTAATCAAGGGGTAGGCTGGCTAAACCGCTGGACAAATTGCTTGGGGTGCAGTAAAGTAAATGTTCCTTTTCGACATACCTTAAATCAAACGATTTCATTTAAGCGGAGAGCGATGCATTTTAATATATTATTCGCTATCCAGCACAGAAGAAAGTTAAAAGGAAATGTGAAGTAGTCAGTTGGAGGAGTTGTGAGTAACATCTTCAGCCAGCCAGAAACAAGGTCTTTAATCGCCTCGAGGTTCTCCAAAGAAAACCATCACTTTCGATTGTATTTAACACCAGTAGTAAGACCAAAAAATATATTTGTACGTTGACAAAACTGACTGGTAAAAACCGACTTGACTTACATATAGAGAGAGGTGGTTTAAATGAGTCACTGCAATACGGATAAATTTAATTATTTTTGAATTTGCGAACCTTTGGCTCGATGCGCTAAACTAGGGTCAAGTTTACCCCTGGGTACACCGATGGAGATTGATTTCACTAGTGCATATTTACACTAACCACTCCCCCAGTGCAGAAAAATTGTCACTCCGATAATATTCTCGATCATTTGCGAGCTTTTCCGTTTCCCCTCGGCCAAAGTCCCTCAGGACTACCAATTACTCAAGACTTTTGTTTGGAAATGTTGATCCGGAACAATGGGCCATTTCTTGATACGTAGCAGTCGGATCGTTTGAAACCTGACAATTTGTTTTTATCATGTTGATAAATGTAAACTGTTCATCTTAAAGATGTTTCCAAAGCTAACGTTTCGAGTGTTAGCCCTTCGTCAGAGCGAAGCTTTAAAAGCTTTCTACGCTTGCCAATTTACTTCATCAACTCAGTTGATTAAACCAAATTATATTGTCATAACCCCATTAAGCAGTCTCACAATTTATTTAGAAAGTTAGCCCGTTTCTTCGTTTCTTTTTAAAGCAATATACGCTTCTCTGATAAGTTCAAGTGTTAGACCCTTGTTATACCATCAATTACATGAACAAATCCATGATAACATCCCTCCATCCAAGGATCTCAGGCAGCCATTTCAGGACCTTTTACAGGCACTTTCTTGCCTAGGCGCAGCGTTCTTCTCCCGTCTTTTTTTATTTAAAGCATTGACCATCGAAGCACATATCTCTAAACGATACCCAAGGAAACTACTTGTAATACTCAAACAATGCTTTCAAAGTTTGTCTGTTTTCCCCACGATCAGCTCTCCGGTTTTAGTAGTAGTAACACAATCAGCTATGAGATTGGAAAAAGATGTCGCTTACTAAAAAGGAAGACGTTTGTGTGGGAATCGCTAGAAGAAGCGTTGTTCAGATTGGCCATCCCTGTAACTACTTCGGTTTGCTAAGTTTTATAATACTCTATCGAAATACATTCAGACGTTAGAAATAGTCAATAGGTCCATTTATTTATATTATATTTCTAAGTTACTTCTCACCTCAATGTGCGCTGAATCGGCTCACCAACATAATCTATGACAAACTGCCTTAAGGACTCATTCACTGCTTTACCGTGCCTAGTTTTCCAAATTTCCAGTTCTTTTGAATTCATCTTAGAAAAGAAGTCACTGACCAGAATTTTTTTCATGTATGGCGCATCAAGAATTCCTGGAAGATACGAGATGAAAGAGTATGTGTGTAACAACAACTAACGTCTTGACAACCTAAACTAGCGGAAGTCATCAATACAGGCAAGATGAGAGTCATATCGCCCGATAACCCTTTCGTCGGCAGCTCGGAGGTAAATAGCACCTGATATTCACTTTCGAAACAACCAATCAGCGCGCGCCAAAAGCACTATTCACCTGTGTGGTATATGCTAATTATTAATGTTATTATAACTGCATTATTTTTATCTTTTTTATGTTGTGGTAAACTTATAAACAACCTCTACGGCTAAACGTTTTATTCAACTTAAAATAAGTTATCTTATCTTATCTTAACCGGCATAAACACCGAAGAAAGAATAACAATTATATCGACAGATCAAGACTAACCGACCACACCTAAAAAAAACCCTACGTAAGTTCAAAGAGAGAGTTTTGATCTAAGGCCATGAAATCACTGAACGAACGAAACAGAACAGCGACGACTTAAGTTTACCGACGGATCGGAACAGATCAACCACAGCTGAAAGCGCTACCCGCAAAATTTTAGCTTGCTTCATTTCGAGGCAAAATTTTTTGAAGTTAACATACAAGATAACCTTTTACATTTCCACATTTACTTTCAGTTATTAAACGTATGATACACGCTGAACGACTTTTGTGTTCTCCACTGAAAAATCACAGTTAAAGACAATCGAGAAGGCTCACGAACGAGTGATACCTCAAAGGTTGCGACTTTGCATGTTTCCTTCTCAATACTAAACCGATGAAATGAAGAGCTTTTAAACTGCCTAGAGTTAATTTCAATCAGATATGCTCTCTTCCTTTGACTGATTTCCTGAAAAGCCTTTTTTCCCCAATTGTTTGTCATAACAATGCCAAGACTGAAACATATTTACACAGAAACAAATTTACGAATTACTCACTTGTTTTATTTTGTTTCATAAATTGTTTTTTTGACAAGAGACCGCAAATTGATCATAAAAGAAAAACAGATGTCTTATATAACGTACGAAGGTTTCAACTCAGAAATTTAACCTTGGCCGTATAATTTTATTTGTTTCTCTCTCCGTAGGAGAAATTCTCTCTTTTATATAATATTAGGCTATACTGCAATTCATGTCTAGATTTTTCGCCTCTCTATTCAACAAAATAAGTCATGGTAAGTTAATGAAATTTTTTTCTTGTTTCCGCTGTGAATCAGTTTTCATAAGTAACAAAACTACGGGCGTCTCCTCATCTAATTCAAAGCTAAAAATTGTCAAGGGGTTTGAAGACTTGAAAAGAAATCCAGTTAATTCCATGTGACTTCAAGAGATATTGTTATGGTGGGACATTTTCACCAAAGACCTTTGACAGTACAAAAACAGCTTCAAAACATAATAACAGAATACTTTACAAACAAAGAAAGGAAAAAGTTATTGAAACACAGCTGCAATCAGCGAATATATTTTCAATTTTAAAAAACATCATTTTTTTTATCTAATATGAAATGTCCACGAGTGTCTGAAAATTGCAAATTAACCTCTAGCGATTTTGTTGGAATACAGAAAGAATTACATTGCTCTGATGTCTATTGGTGTAATCGACGCCCTTGACTTGAAGAAATGTATTGCGTGGTGAATTTGCAGCGTTTGAGCCCGTTTTCCAGCTCAAAAAATAAAATCAGCATTACATCCAGGACTATTTTGAATGAATAAAAAGTTTCCGCTAAATATTTTTGCTATCTCAATCTGAGAAAGTATTCTAATGACAGCTTTATGCTTTGATCTTAAAATGAATTACGCAGTTTGAGAGGACAAAAACATATATTTGGTCCAAGACAAGAAAGATTAAAACTTTTGTAAAATATTAAAGGTGATATGATTATCATCCAGTGATATGCTACTCTATGAACTTATTTTCTTCTTCTCGGATTGATCATTAATTCTTACAGCAGGTCAAAATTGTTGCATTAATCGATAACACTTTTATTCACTGAGTTGAATAAATAACTGCTGTAAGATTATAAGACCTTTATTTCCTTACCAGCTGGGCCGTCAATATCGACCTCTCTAAAGGCGCCTCTCAAACCATCCAGCCCGGCCTTGCACTCTTCAATCGTACGAACCATACCAGTAGCCACGCCTAATCTCATGTTCTCCACAAACTGTGTAAATGTTTGGTTAATTTCCATCAACTTATTCCTTATTATCTCCACTTCAGACACAGTTGACGGCTGGAAATGGGGCAGTGCGCTACCCACATCCATTGGCAAGAAACAGATAGAAGACCAACAGAAAACGTTTGGTCCCATCAGCCAATCTCCTGAGTAATAATCATAAGCGAAGGGAACGCCGTAAGGAAAAATGTGCCGCATCCAGTGAGAGAGCTGCGCTTTGGCTCGCTTTTCCCGAAGTGTCAGCTTGTTTTCTTGAAGGTTCATATCTTCAAGCCTCTTCGTCAGTTTAGCTATCTCGTCTGTGACAAATTTTATCTGCATTGGCGTGGAATCGTAGCTTTTATACCGCTGGCGGATTTCATTTGGCATCACCCCCTTTTTAAACGCGATTTTATGCGGTAACAACTCGTAAAATCTCTCTTGAGCTTCGTGCAAAAACCTTGCTAGTCCCGAAGTATGCGCCTCCCTTGAATATTCACAGCCGCTCAGGACCGCTCGTGTAACTTTTGCAACTTGACATGGCTCGTTGTTCTTCCGCACCGTATTTGCTTGTATCATCATAACAATACCGGCGATAAGGCAAGCTATCCCAGCGATTATCAACGCGCCCACGACAACGGATTCACATCTAGTCCGCCGCCTTGTAATCCCAACCTCTTTATACAACAGCGCCATCCTAAGGTGGAAGGAAGGAAAAAGACCACAGCACCAAAAAAGTGCATTAAGTTTTAACGCCAAATGTCAAATCTTACGTGTTTCGGAAATCGCTCGAGTGGTCCCAAATAAAAACAATTCTTGCCAAAGTGCAATCAAAATTTTATGGGGTTTTAAACCAATCAATTTTCTCAAAATCGCGTCCGGTTTTCTTCATTTTTTTCTTCATTAGTGAATAAGTCTCTCCGGTGTCATTTGTTGTGATAGAAAGATGTTGACTTTTTTTGTTAACTTTTATGGAAATCTAGCATTTAAAGGTAGCGCTTGGAAAAGCTAATCTACTAGTGTAAGCACAAAAAGTAAATAACTCATTTCAGATAGGTCAATTTAACGGTTGTGGAAATAAAATGCTCGACGCACTTTATGACTAAAATCATTGTCGAAGGACCTAGTCTACGGGCAAAATTACCGCTATAGCGATACGCCGCCAAATCTCGCAAAAAAATTATACGGAAAATCCGTGACGATGTACATGAGACAAAACATAATTTATTACTCCAATTTCACTCAGCAGACGGTCATCCTTAAATCAGGGCGTTTCAATTTTTTCTTTTTATAATTACTTTCTGTTTTTTTTATTTTTTTTATTTTTTTTTTCGCATTCGAGTTTTTTGTTGAGAAGATACCTCGGTATTTTTTCCAAAGCTTTCAGCAGACTTTCCGGAGAAATAGTGAGATCATTTCTTTGAGTGTTTATTACAACTACGTAAACAGCTTTCGAGAACTTTTATTTGTTCTTATACTTGACTACCTTGACATACAGCTAAATACAAAAAGGCCGTGGATAACCTTAAAGTTTAAACCGAAATTTTTTTAAAAGGGAAAATTTGTCTTTGCCTTTAGAAGAAAATCTAAAGATATTGTAAGGAGAAATTCGATGCTTGTTAATCTTTAGGGGAAAAGGTAAAAACTCTCGGCGAAAGCCATGCAAATCGCAACGTATTATCAAAAATTTCTAATTATTAATTCTCCATCCTGTCTCCTATAAATTTCTAAAAATCTTGGCTATAAGAAAGTTGTGATATCAAACAATATCAAATAGTTTTTTTTTTCCTTTGCATCAGCTTTCCCCTGGAACATATAGTAATATTAAAGAAATTCTCTCCTGCTTACCCTGTGGAGTAAGAGGTTTCACATCGCCAAGCAAAACATAAGAAAACCAAATTTCTTACAAATCTTAGATTTGCTATCACCTCTTTCTCGTTTTCTTTCATTAACTCTTTAAACCCCAACATCAGTGTTCATATTCTCCATACTGGTCTCTTAACATTCCTTATGGTTTTGACAAAGAGAAATTGTTTGACAATCAAGAGTTTCTTTAGGTGGTGATCATTTCCTTAATTCTCGTAACCTTAATGTTTGATTCATAGGTGATACTGTATAAAGAAATAACATGCTAATCACTCTTGGGGGTTGAAGGATTGCACAAAAGTGGCTGTGGCTAGGCTTCATTCATGCATTAAACTTCCTGTATACTGCTTATATTTGGATGATGATGATGCAACAGTAGAATGGTGAAAATACAGCTTTATCTACAATAAAAAAGATTTCCCAAAAGCAAAAGTTGAATGCAAATTTGTTTCACAATGTTATCAATATTGTGTTGTTACATTCTTTATTTCGGTACTGCTGAGTAACACTCAGGTCATGTACAAGAGTGAAACCATGTTCTCCTACCAAAAGCCTGACATTTTTCTTCACTGTTGCTGTAGCTTGTAATAAAATAAACTTTGTTGGGATTTATGATGTTCACTCTCCATTGATATAATCTTGAAAGACATTAGTATCACCAAACATTTATTGAAATAATTGAAAACAGAAACAAGTTAGGGCAACATTTTAGATTTGATAGTCAAGAAGCAAACATTTCTATTTTCTTGCCATAATAACAACCATGAGAAAGTATACCTACACAAGGGTACAAAATAAGCTCTTCTGTTCCTTTTTACATAAACAGCCATGCTCCATAACTAAAACATGATCATCTCATGCCTGTACCTGCAACCTATTGTTCATGAAGACTAAAATTTTTAAGAGGAGAAACTATTCCTCTTGGTGTCATATCAGCCACAGAAGCAAACCCATTTAAAAAGCCAGCTTCTTGATCAAGAGGTACACATGGTCGTCTACTTCCATTCCATGTAAATTGTTAGCATCACCTTGAAGCCTCATTAGTAGACCACCAAAAGACACATATGCAGCTCTAAAAAAGAAAACAAAAGCTTGCATTCACCATGAGTTCTCGAAGGTATCTTTTCATGTTAACAAAAGCTAATGCCTGTTCCCTGCTTGTTTTGCTTCATAAAGGCTTTTCCTTTGGACCTCAATTTTGTCTAGCCAAAATACGCTCTGACTGTGCTCTGTTCTGTTGTAAGGCATGCCAGATGCAGCTAAAGTACAAAAGAAAGGTAGAAAAAACACAAGAGGCAGTCTGGTGTTTTTTGTTTTTTTTTTTTTAACTTCTTAAGTCCAGGAATTGGTCTGCCATTGTACAAATTGCTTGATGGCATGACACAATTACTCCTCGCATCTGTACTCTTATTGAGCATGTTATTTCAGCCAATCAGAATGTGCATTAATTACTGGTGTGTAGAAACTTTAAGGTAAATACATACATGCCACACAATTCATTTTTTTTTAACATAATGCTCTAAAATTTGAAAAAAATAGGTGTCTCATCACACCCTTAACTCCAATAACAGACAACACTCTACATCAGCCACTTTCCTCTCTATACAAAATGGTCGCTGTATATTACATTTGCTGTTTTACTCACAGTCTTGTTGGAGCATCAACTCCACTTTCATCTCCTTCTATTCTGTAAACTTTTCCATACATGACATATTCAAACTGGTCAGCACGCGAGGGTCCACTGTCTGAAGGGTTATATTCCCCATCATCTGGGGTGCCATCTTCTTTGAGAGTATTAGCCAAAACCAGTCTGAATTTTTCCCCATAATCAACTGGATAGATCTGGGTATTCACATCAAGTATAAGATCCATTTTAAAACTTTCACTTTCACAGTGAAGTCGAGAAACTGAAAAGGAAGGAAGCAGCACATTAACATCACTCAGCTTGTTTGCAATAGCTATTTGGTGCCAGTGTCTATTTTTGAGAAAATTTTGCAGCTTGCATCTGCAGAAAGAGCAAAAGATTCCTGTCATGTATTCTTCTTGCTCTTTCTCAGGTAAAAAAGAGAATGGTTCGGGTGATAACATGTGAGTAGCACTTACGTACCTTATGCCTGTTGTCAGAGTATGGCAGAACTTGCCCAGATCTTGTATGTACAAAGGCAATTCTGGGATGTGAAATATATGGCACGAAAGGAAAAAATTCCCATATGCGTCTGCCATACTCTGTAGACAGGCCTGTATACATGTAAAAGCATACCTAAATTTAAACATAAGTTCACCCTCTACCACAATGTTGTAGAATTACAGGAAACACTGTCCCCTATTGCTCGAGGGGAAGAAGGGCTACAAGTAGAGAGGTGGGGGTGGGAAAAGTAACTTCTTCCCGAATTCTGAGTTTTAGGATTCAACCACAGCTGTACACCGCCAATTGGCGCATATGTGATAAACTCCTGCACACTGCTTAGGTTTTAATGTCGATGTGGAACTTTTCCACAGTGATCTGGAGGATTATGGTAATGTTTGTAGCCTGTTAATTAAACTGAAACGTTGATTTGTCTCATTCCTTGAGACAGGCCTGCTCAAACTCCCAACAACAGTCTAGTACAGTATCGATCAATGAAACCCATCAAGTTGGAAGCGGTAAAACGTTAAATTGACTCAAATCTTGGCTTAAAATACACTTAAGCGATAAAAACTTCTATATCCTGAACATAACTTACCTCTGTCGAATTTTTTCCCTTCTGGGTCGATGTCTTTGACGTCGAAAATATCCTCAAACAGAACTCCAGCCATGTTGAAATACAAATTGACCAGGCGTCGATGTTCAATACTATCAGGGAGTGGGTAAGAAAAAGAAATATGAAATTGGTAGGTTATCCTTTTTAAATAGTTTTCAGGCTTTTTTTCGAAACTTTTGGCTCGTTTTAATAAACAAATTCTAAAAAAAATGTATTAAACTTTAGTTCCAACAGAAATATATGTTTTAGGGGATAGAGTTTTATTGTAGTCCTCTCCCTACCTTAGGAAGAAGCAAAACTTAGCACCCGCTGGCCTGGTTACGTAGTCCCACGTGAAGCTCCAAAATGGCGGATGATGAAGGAAACCTTTCTGCCAAGTCGCACAGAAAGAAACAAGCTGGGCCTAAAGCAGAGAAAAAGAAACAAAATAAACACCCGCCAGAAGCTGCTAGTGCTGAGCGAAATCGTAAGGCCTTCTCATTCAAGTCGGCCGTTAGAGCAGCTCGCCAGTTTCGTCGAAAGCAAGATGTTGAGACAAAGCGGCATCACGAACCAGTTGTTGATCGAACGCCACTAGAACCTCCACCATACATCATAGCAGTGGTTGGACCACCCAGAGTTGGTAAAAGTACGCTCATCAACTCACTACTGAAGAATTTCACCCGTCAGCAGTTGTCTGATGTGAAAGGTCCTATTACGATTGTGTCAGGTGAGTGTATACAATCATTAACCACGGTTGTTATCAAATGTTCGGGCACATGTTTCATGAGGATCGTAAACCAAGATCTCCGTGTTACTGAAGGAATGAATTGAGCTGCCCAGAATTACGAAGCTGTTTTCGTAAATTTACGTATTTGTGGTCGCATTACACATTGTAACCGTAAAAACTTGGCAAACTTTAATGAGGACTACAGCTGAAGAGCATTTCTACAGCTTAAGAGCACTTCTCACTTCTCATTGGGCTTTAGGTGTTTATATATGTTATATGATTAATTTTTCAGGAAAGAAGAGACGTCTCACTTTGATTGAATGTAATAATGACATCAACTCTATGATTGACGTGGCAAAAATTGCGGATCTGGTAAGTTCACATAGACAACTTTTGTTAAGTATACCTATGTTGTAAGATTCTGAGAACACCTGCTTGACATAGAAAGGAATGACAAAGACACATCCAAACCAGTCACTAGACACGCTAATCTCTTAAATCATTCTACACCATAAGAACTATATAACAGTCTGCAGCTTTTCCCAACATCAAGGTAATTTGGAAAGTTGCAAAAGTTTAGAACAAAAATTTATCGTTCAAATCCGAACTCTTAATCACCATGGTATCAACAAATTCCTTTCATTCAACTAATTTATTCTTGTGTTTTTCTCATTACCATGTTCTCACAAATAGCGTAGCTCCATTTTTTTGTTAGAAACCACACACAACCCTCAATGCACTCTGATGAAGGGCCAACACTTGAAACCTCAGCTGTAGAAAGTCATTTGGTGGCCAATTAACATTAAAAACACAGTTGATAAAGATATATTACCTTTATCTATTAATGCTTTGTGGGTGATGACAACATCATTATTTAATCATTTGGTCACTTTCTGAGGCTAAAACCTGATTTGTGTTGTTTTTGCTTCTGTTTGTAAACATTTCAAGGTTCTCCTCCTGATTGATGCTAGTTTTGGCTTTGAAATGGAAATTTTTGAATTTCTGAATATCTGTCAAGTTCATGGCTTCCCAAAGATCATGGGTGTCTTAACACATCTTGACTTGTTGAAGAACAACAAAGCCCTTAAGAAGACCAAGAAGAAACTGAAAACTAGGTTTTGGACAGAAGTTTACCAGGTGACCGTTTAGTTTCTAGTCTTAATCTTTACCTCCCAGGAGTGACTAACACATAACTTCTCCTTACAGTATCAAAACAGTATCAAACAGCCAAGAGATACAAATGGCAAGAACTGTTAAGTAGGGGATTGACATTATATCAAACACCAAGTTCTCAGAACAAAGTTAGATATAATGCATGGAGTAAGGAGAATTTTAATTGAGATACATGTATTTGAAGAGAAAGGATTAAGTTTCTTGTAAAGATTAAACATTAGGTATCAATATTATCATTTTTTTTTTTTCAATATTTGAAAACATGTCATATTTGAGATGGTATGTACTCTATTTGCAGGGAGCAAAATTGTTTTATTTGTCGGGTCTAGTTTACGGCTCTTATCCCAAAGTGGAGATTCATAACTTGGGAAGGTTTATTGCTGTGTCAAAGTTTCGACCTTTAACTTGGAGAGTTTCACATCCATACATCCTTGCCGACAGGTAAATTGTTTTATCCTTTTACCTCCACAATCTGTTTTTTGTTTTAGATGCTACAAATTTCCTTGTAAATTAGTTGGTGTAAGATCCAGATAAGGATCTCTGCTTGATATTAGTTTGAGTTTTCTTCTTTTTTTTTTTTTCTGGATAATAATTATATGGATATTGTACAGGGTTTTCTTTAAGGTTTTTAAGTAGCTGGAGCTTTTTTAAAGGTAAACGGTAAAGAATATTCATATCTCGAAATCCAATATGGCAGACAAAACGTCATATCATTCATACTTTCCTGCTACTCAACAAGATTTGTCAAAAAGACAGTCCCCGTCAGAACATTTTTAAACCAACCCTGAGTCAGAAGTCTTTTTATGTTTTCAGAAAAGATAGGCAGATTTGTATGGGCTCTTGAAGCAATGAAAGTAGCTGGGGAAACCTTGCAGAGAAGCTGGCATACTTTGCTGGCTACCAGCTCTTATCTACAACCCTGTTGTAGTGAGAGGTCTCATGTTAATCACTTCTGGGAGTTTAAAGGAGAAAAGCTGATATTTGCAGAATATTGATTTTTCAGTTTTGTACAGTCACATTCAAGTGACATCAGAATGAAAGTAAAGTGAACTATTCAAAGAGGGTCATATACACTGTATGTGCCATACATGTGCAGCTTTTTTGTTTCTAATATTCTCTATCAATTTTATAAATTTTGTGTCTTCTCTTTCCAGAATGGAAGAGTTGACAGATCCAGAACTTATTCGTCAAAATGCCAAATGTGATAGAAAGGTTTCCCTATATGGCTATGTGAGAGGAGCACACCTACAACACAACTCCAGAGTCCACATCATAGGTAACTGACATACAACTACTTTAATATGGCGTCAGCAAGCTCTCCCATTAAGAGAGAAGGCCTTAGTTGATCAAAGGGTGAATATCACTGTCTGCTGGATAAAACTCTGTCTGGTGGATAGCAAAGTAAGTTTTGTCATCAATTATCTGCTGGATAGTATTTAACCAATGAATAGCATTATCCACCTTGTGAACAATGGGGCCCAGGTTTCTATTTAAGCTACATGTAGTTGAAAAGATAATCATCACAACTGAAAATTCAGTTAACAGTGTAACCCTTGTGCATGTTTATACAAGTGTTTTAAAGTCTATGAATTTACTACCAACATGGCCTTTAAAACATGATAGGCACCAATCAGGATTAAATTGTGATGTAATAATGTTTTTATTTTTTTTCCTTTTCTTGTTTCCTTTCTCTCTTTCATCACTTTTCTGTAGGTTGTGGAGATCACACTCTTGAAGAGATCAGCCTCCTACCAGACCCTTGTCCTCTGCCAAATGCAGAGAAGAAACGGTCACTGAATGAAAAAGAAAGACTTATATATGCCCCTATGTCTGGAGTTGGGGGTGTTGTCTATGACAAGGTGACAGTCTAAGTTTAAGCGGCCTTTACACTCAGTACACATTCTCCATACTGTTCTCTATACATTTTTAAGATCCTGATAAGGAAAATTTGTTTAACAATCAAGAGATTCTTTAGTTGATGATGTTCTTCTTTATTCTCCTGACTTTAATGTGGAATGCAGGGGTTATATTGTGGTGAGAAATTAGATGCTAGTCACTTTTATGTGACAAATGGTTTGCATAATTTCTGCATAACATAACAGTTTTCAGGGACACTACAACATGCCTCTGGCGAGCTGTAAATTAAGTTTCCATAAAAACTGTAACCGTTGACAGTCGAATTTACTCTGGAAAGGCAGTGTACACTGTACATGTGTTTTAAGAGTTATAATGTAGTGGTTGTTTCTATTCTCCCTTTCATTGCTTGGACCCCAATTTAAATTTGCTTTCCCTATACTGTTTAGTTTTGAGACTTTGATAAGAAAAGAACACTGTTTCCTTGTTTATATATATTTTTTTCCTTGTTTATAAATATTTTTTACCTGATGTTTGAGAAAGGATTGAAATGTTTAGAGGAAATATGTACCTTTTTGGAAAAGAAAGAGTTTATAGACCCATAAATTTGTAGCGTATGTAAATTTTAGTAATATACAGAATTATTCAAATAGTACACTACTTAAATTGTTTCAACTTTCACTATAAATGTTTAGGAACCCTCCTCAGGATATACTGTATTTCAGATACAAAAAGCTGTTTTCCTAATGTTTATTTTGTGCCACTTCTAGGATGCAGTGTACATCGACCTTGGTGGAAGTCAGGCAGGGAAAGAGAGAACCAACCCCTCCACTCAGGTGATTTCTAAAAAGTTTGAATGCACTCCCATAATATTTGAGACTGAAATTTCAAGATACAGGGAAACTTGTGGAGGAAAATTTATAGGCTAAGATAAGAAATACTAAAAGGGTCAAGATTTTTTTTTAAATGCTAATGTTGCAAGCATTTACCCTTCATAAGAATGAAGAAAAGATAATATCTTAAGTGTAAGTTAGAAACATTTTAGAGTGATCAATTTCCATCACAGCCTCAGTTGAAAAAAAAATTAATTATCTCGGGATGAGAAATACACTGAAACTTATTGATTATGATACAGAGATTATTTTTTATTTTTTAGTAAACATCTGTTATGTGCACCAAAACTGATCAACAGTTTACTTACTGTTTTTGTTGTTAATTTTTAGGTTGAAAATCGACCAGGAAATGAACTTGTGTCTTCTTTAATTGACACAAAGCAGACAATTGACAGTAAAATGCAGACAAGTCAACTGACATTGTTTAAGGTAAGCAGTGGATGACAGAGTACATAGGGAAGCACTAATAAACAGAAGTTCCACTTGATGAAAACAAATTGCTCATTATAAAACATTTTTTGTTGCAAAGTTGTAACAATATTCACAGAATTACAAGGCTTTAAACCAATGAAATGCTTGCAGCTCTTTAGTTCATGGCCATTTTGTTTCACAGGATCAGCTTTTTTTCATTATGTAATATATTACTGGTAGCATTTCATCAACAATGAACATAAATTCAAGTCTTTCATTTTCACTTCAGTTTTCCTAAATATTCCAGAAAAATCTACTGTAAATGAGCTTTTAAATTCATGTTTCCTAATTAATCAGTGTTATTTAAATCTGTTTTTATTATTTGTTCACAGGATGGTGCACAAATAGCAGCTGATGAAGTCATTGAGTAAGTATTTTCACACTGTCCCATAATTTGAAATTATTACAATTATTTGTTATACAAGTATTTTTTGGATCCCTCTTTGTAAAAAGAAAACTGATTGTCCCATTATAAATAGGGTAGCAATTCTTGTTGACACTTAGCGCTCCTAGAGGAGGTCTGTGTTAAAATTATGGTTCTGTTTGGTCACAAATTGCCCCTAAGGCTCCTATCTGCAGTGTATGCGTGGGTGCACGTTTTATAAGTGTATTTGAATCTTGCTGTTTCTTTCCCTAGTTTTTTTCTAAATTACAAAATAACTGAAATACTACCTATGAGAGGCCTGATTGGTCAAAAACCTGTCATTTATTTCACCGATAAACCCATAGAAAATTTGAAAATTTTAAGTTTTTTTTATACGAGCAATAAATTGCACTCTCTAACGGTATACCAGCGTTATAACCAACTGTTGGGTGTACAAGAGAAAAGTTTGTGAATCACTCACTCCTGGCTCGTGACTGAAAATAATTTTTACGTTGTTCTAACATCCCCAATGGGTTATTACGCTGGTAAACCAATAGAGAGTGCACTCTATTGCTTAATTACTAGTCTATCATTTGTTATTTTTTGTTACGAACTCGTTAAACTAAACTAGGCTACATGCATGTGCATTTGAACCACGTAGGGATGACGACTACTCAAGACCCTCTGAGGAAATTGTTGTGGATGAGAATGGTCGAAGGAGAAGGAAAGCTGTATTTGGTGATAATGAAAATGAGGATGATAAGGAGGAAGATTGTGAAGATGACGAAGTTATTTCAGATGATGGTGAACATAGTGATGAGGATGATGACGACGACGAACGTGGTAATGATGATGAGAATGATGGTGATGGCAGTGACATTGATGATGCTGTGGTAGAGAGTGACGAGGAGGATGAATTTAACGAGGAGGAGGAGGATGATGAAATAGTTCTAAAGTTGAATTCTAAACATGCTAGACGAGAACTGTTGTTAAGGAAGCAAACGGCTTCGGAAAAAGGAACTGAAAATGGCCGGGAAGGAGATGAATCACAAGAAGATTCAGAGGAAGAAGACGAAGGAGAACAAGAAAAGGAGGAGGAGGAGGAGGGAGAGGAAGAACATAATGGAAGAGAATCTGAAGAAGAGTACAATTTTAATACTAATGATAATTCAATGAATGATTCCGAATCAGACTCAATAGTTGATTTTCCTTCTCTGAAGAGAAAGAGAAAACTTGATGTTACAGAGAAAGGGAACCAAGATCACGGTGTTAAAAAGAAGTTAAAAAATGAAACAGGCTCTGTGAAACAAAATGTGGTCAAAGGTGTTAAAGCTGATAAGAAAAATAAAGAACAGACTGAAAGGACTGGTGATAAGCCAAGTTTAATTGATTCCAATGTTGAATCAGGATCAATTCTTGAAATTTCAAATGACAAAGAAAGTGGAGAAGATAGTGATGGTGATGTCAATATAGTGAGCTATGGTGACTCAGGTGAAGATGCAAGCGAAGATTCAGGATCTGAAATGGAAGAAGGTATAGTGTACATGTATCAGATCAAGATTTAATGATGACCTGCGAGTAGACTTACTGATCGTCTGACTGATTAACTGAATGAGCCACTAACTGGCTGACAAGTGTGACCGACAAACTGACTGACCAAACGTCTATGTATTAAATAAGTACCTGGATGACTGAGTTACTGATCAATAAACCAACAGACTTCTCGACCAACTGACTTACAGTGTAGCGACATGTATATGAACCAACCAACCGATGATCAACGTAAGTGCAATCAGGATAGACTAGTAAGATGGTAAGATGGAAATATTAGAGAATGAGCGTGGCATTTTTAAAGGTCTGACAACTTAGGAAAAAAAAAAAACCTAGACTACTGGAACTGGAAGTGTTTTACCTACTTTATTCCCTATTTTAGGTGCTCTGAAGTGGAAGGAAAATCTAGCTCAGAAGGCAGCAGCTGCATTTCTGCAGCGCCAGCGAGACACGCCAAATATACAGAAACTTGTTTATGGGATTGGTAACATTGATTATGTATTTGTTTCTTTGTTCGTTTGTTGTTTATGTCTCTTCAACTCGAAACTCGGCGGTCTTTTTCGTTTTTGTTGAGAGTTGAAGTTAGAGATATTTTTGAATGACTACGCATTGTATTCAAGCTGCATCTGACTCGAAGAAACGTCCAATTTTTGGTCTTAAGATTCCAATAACCATTTTTTTGTGTGTGCAGCTCTTCAAAATAAGAAAGAAGAGAGAGAAGATGAGGACAGTGATGAAGACGCTATCGGCGGAATATTTAAATTGAAGTCCATGAACGCTTCTGAAAGTAAAAGCGTTTTACACGACAGAGACTGCTCGCTTGAGGTTATCACTACGCCGTTAAGGGATTGGAGCCAACCGGAAGTGCTTCAGAGCATCCGGGACTGTTTTGTGACGGGCAAATGGAAAGATTCTGAAGATGCCGAGATGCTCCTCCAGGGCGATGATACAAGTATGAACTTATCTTGTTCAATGCCTAAATGTGCATTCCTATCAGAGCGCTTTCCGGTTGAGTGTTGTGAAGCCAAAGTTATCATAACAGCCAATCAGAAGAAGAGTTGAATTTTATAAAGAACCAGTGAAAAGTCAAATTGAAGCGCGGGAAAACACGAGTGATAGAGTCTTGATTTGTTCTAGTTTTTGCACTTGACTGGTAGAGGATGACGCAAGTTTTCTCGGCCAATCACAGCGCGAAGTGAAGCAAAACTGCGAAATGTGATGGGGCCTAGATTGCTTTGGATTCTAAACTGAAAGCTGATCATGATTACATGTATTTTTGACGATAAAATTGGTAAGTTATCGTTAAAAAAGAAAGAAAAGAAAAGAAAGGAAATAAAGCTTTTCATTTTTTTTTTCAGTTTCCGATGATGAAATGTTCGGAGACTTTGAAGACCTGGAAACTGGTGAAGTGCATACAGCTGACGACAAACACAACTCAGGGAGGGAGGGACAAGAAGATGAACAGGATGAAAGTGAAGAGGAGAAAACTGATGGAGCTGATAGGAGGATGGAAATGAAAAAGAAACAGAAGGCGGCTTTTGATGCAACGTATCCTTTCTGAAGAATTTATTAACTTACACCTTGAACAGCTCCTTGATCAATTTGTGGATAGTGTCAACTGCTCTATGGCTAGATCAGCATTTCGACTTATTATTGATAACTTCCACGGTTTCCTTTAGAATGCCAACTCCTTCAGTAGACAGACCAGAGGCTGAACTGGAGAGGCGCAAACGGTCAATTAAGAATCTTGTTTTTCTAATAATTGGCGGTTACTTTCCCATTTTCCTGCAGCTCGTTATTTAATTTGGTTGTGTAGGTCCAATTTGTGTTTCATGTGATTGGGGAGAATCCGTCAACTTGTTTGGTCGTTTTTTTCTTCGTTTGGTGACTTAACCTGACTAAGGTATGATGAAGGTGACGAAACCTCGTATTATGATGAGCTCAAAGCGCAGATGACAGAGCAGGCACAGGTTTGTACTGCTACCACGTCTCATTTTACATTTTGATTGAAACAATGGATCCTTTTTTCAAGACCATGGCTGACTTAACATTTATTTCTGTCCACAGCTAAATCAGTCCGAGTTCCAAGACATGGATGACGAGACGCGAACACAGTATGAGGGATTCAGACCAGGAATGTATGTCAGGGTGGAGGTTAGTACAAGATCAGATGACTTCTCTTTACCTACTGTCTTACAGTAGCTACAGAGAGTTAAGTTATACATGAATGAAGCTTCATTCTCCAGTCGTAGGACAGTACTTTTAAACTGGAGCAAAATCTAAAACCAGGTTATCGCAAAGGCTGTTTTGACTGCTAAAATGCTCATGGCAATTTCCATTTGAACACAAGATGCAAAGGGGTCAAAGCGTGGAGAATATTCATAAGAGACTTGTAACCGACTTTGATTTCACATCTGAAGGTTCATGATGTAGTGGACAGTCATAGAGTTGATTCAAGTATTTCGAATTTCCTTTGATATTTTCTGAGAACTACATAAACTTAAATCTCAGTGGGTACAATTGTATGCACTTGAAACCGTCATACCCAGAAATATTTCGTGTCACCAATTTTTGTCTTTCATTACCAAACTTTCAGCTCAGTGGTATGCCCTGTGAGTTTGTCACCAACTTTGATGCCAAATATCCCGTGATTCTTGGCGGCCTTCTGCCGAGTGAGGATAACATGGGATTTCTTCAGGTAAGTGTCAATACGAAAGACATCATGGAATGATTCCTAAACTCTTTTCACCCTGAAGTCATGTGGAACAAAAGAAGAATGTTTAGCTCACGCCATCAGCGTATGACAAACTTGAAATTTGAGAATATGGCTCTATGTGATCTTTTTTCAGGTTCGCTTTAAGAAACATCGTTGGCACAAGCGCATCCTCAAGACAAGGGATCCGCTGATCTTGTCTATTGGCTGGCGCAGATTTCAAACTTTGCCGATGTACTCAGTCCAGGACCACAACGGCCGCCACAGATTGCTGAAGTACACCCCTGAACATCTACACTGCATGGCTACCTTATTTGGTAAGGATACGTCTTAAAATCCTCTTTGCTTTCGTAACCTAAGATCAAACTGTTTTTTTTTTCGGGGGAGCACCAAACTGTAGCAGCTTAAGACTCGGCCGTCCGGAAAACAAAATAGATAAAAAGAAAACCTAGCGGTGATGTGTGCACTGTACACAAATGAACATCATTTTGTCTTTTTTCTGCACGAAGCTTATATGTATGTTGAAAAGAATTTTAGAATCACATGGACAATTTATTCAATAACCACTTCTCCTCAGGTCCCATAGCTCCCCCCGGAACTGGAGTCCTGGCAATTCAAAGCACAGCAGGCGATATGGTAAGTTAGCAGGCCTGTGACCCTTTAACTCCCCAGGTCTGATTGTTAATGAATATCATAACAAGAAGTTACATATTAATCACTTGTGTGAGTTAAAGGGTTAAACTCACTAGATTTGATTTTAGAAATGTTTCTTTTCAGATGCTTAACATTTCTTTGGGAATTAGAGATGAGAATTTTTAATTGGTGGTTTATCGAACTCAAGAAATCTGTTACAGTTTACAGACGGTCGATTAACAGTATTAGTATCAGTCTAGAGGATCATAGATGTTCTGTTCCATCATTACAGTGTCTTTTTCCTTCTTCTTTCCACCATTTTAAGTCTGATTTCCGCATCTCAGCCACTGGTACCGTGTTGAACTTGGATAAATCTGTAGAACTAGTCAAGAAACTCAAGTTAACAGGAACACCCATGAAGATATTTAAGAACACTGCCTTTATCAAGGTGATTTACAGATGTTATCCTTTGTATGTTTTCATTTGAAAGTGACGGAGAGCTGTTTCAGCCAGTAGCGAGAATCTTGAGCGAAAAAGAAAATTCCAGTCCCTTCGATGGGATGAGTGCTAAGATTGACCTGAGAAAGATCAGAACCCCTCTCCAGTATTTTCTGGTGTTTACCAAGCATGAACTTAGTTAGGTCCTGTTAGTGTAGTGACTAGTTCCAGTTCCGATGTTTTGAAGGTTCAAGAAAAGTAAGAAAGGTTTATCGAGATTTAAGAGATTGGAAAGGGTCGATATCATGTAACCATCATGATAAAATTAGTCTAACTCGTTTGAAACACGGCGAAGACTTCCCTGTGAATGATACTGATAATGTGAAACTGTCGCTAAGCACAAAAGACCATTTGGAACTCATGGAACTCAAGATTATTTTTTTCCATCTCCAGGGCATGTTCAATTCAGCTTTGGAAGTAGCAAAATTTGAAGGAGCAACAATACGAACTGTCAGTGGTATCAGGGGACAAGTTAAGCGCGCGCTGAAGGTATGTTATCTTGATGTTTTGTTAGCCTCTTAATTGAAGGGGATAAAGAGGTTTTGTTTGGCTCATTTGTTTTGCTTTTCTCGCTAGAATCCGGAGGGTGCTTTCCGTGCAACATTTGAGGACAAAATTTTGATAAGTGGTGAGTGATGACTACTTTTGTGAGCCGGCTTTTGTTCAAAGCTACGGTATGAGAACAAAGTGATCAGCAATGAAATCCAGTTTATAACACTGTACGCGCGTATCTCGCACCTAATTCCTAATGAGCCACCATGGTGTATTCAAGTAAAAGACCGCACTTTCTATTGGTTTACCGGCGAAATAACCTACGCAAGAGTTGCTTTTGGCTTCGTCTTGAGCCACTCTTACGCATCTCTCGTGCTCTCCAAACATCCCACGTGCATCCATTATTCGATGTATGCTCGCTAGGCATGAACCAATTCTTAATTGAAGCATGTGCAGGGAAAGCGCCTCAGACAGGCTTGCGCATCTGATTAGTTAAGGTGCTGACTTGAAGATCTGAACCAAGTAATCAAATCAACAACCACCTGTGGTAACTCAGTAACTCAAAGCCTCGTACTGTTGTGTTCTCCAGACATAGTTTTCATTAGAACCTGGTACCCAGTCACAGTTCCGAACTTCTGCAACCCTGTGACGTCACTACTCTTACCGCCAGAACAGAAGGCAACGTGGCAGGGCATGCGCACTGTTGGTCAACTTCGAAAAGACCTAGGTTTGAAAGCGCCTGTCAAAAGTGATTCGTTGTACAAGGTGAGTACATCAGTCACGCTCAGATGTTAGCTCGAGCGACGTCAAAATATTTCTTTTAAGTACTGCAAAATTATTGTCAACTGCCATGCTAGGAAAAATGGTCAAATACCTGTGAAAGAATAATTCGTGGCTGGTATGACGCGGCGTTTTGTCTTGACAATAAAACTACTCATCAGTGCAAGGTCCTAAGATTTAGGCAGTTAAGGCCTCAATTAGAAGGATTCACAACCGCACGTAACAACAAGTATCATATTCGAGTGATTTTCTTGACCAATGTCTTCTAATGATGCCAGGTCTCAAAGTTTGTCTTTGTTTTGTCTCCCTGCCTAATTTTGGTTTGGTATTAGTTGTAGCGGATTTGGAACAGTTGTATCCAGCAACATTTGTCGTGAATTCACCGAAGTATAAAGGCTTCACCTCTTGAATGTTACCCATGTATGTGGTGTATTCAGGATTAGACGCTTTGGAAAAGCTTATAAAAATTGTTTTTACCGACAACTAAGATTCGGAGAACTGAAAAAAGGGCGTGGATCGTGAGGGGTAAGGAGTAATAAACTGAAGCAATATTTGTGTTATTGGCAGCCTGTAGAGCGGGTCACTCGTCACTTTAACCCACTGGTGATTCCAGCCAAACTTCAAAAAGATTTACCATTTAAATCCAAACCCAAGCTGATGAAGAAAAGGACTAAGCCAACCTTGGAAACGAAACGCGCTGTTGTTATGGAACCGCACGAAAAGAAGGTAAGTATATGACGGTCAAGTGCTGGTTTTCTTTTCATTTTTTAGAGAAATTTTCAGTTGAGTGTCGAAATTAATCCCAGAATGCATTGGTTTTGCTTTACTTCGCTCTGTTAGCGGAAATATGGTGACGAGAAAACAAGAAGAAATGAATTGAATAAAAAGCTTTCGTTGATACCGCGGGGGTTAAGAGTGCCGATTTGAAAGATAAATTTTTGTGCTAGAGTTTAGCGGCTTTCCGAACTGCTATGATAACTTAAAGATTCCTCCTTCCTTTCCTTTAACAGGCTTTCACGCTCATGAAGCAACTGTACACTGCAAACAAGGAGAAACAACGAAAGCGAAAGGAGAAGCTTCAAGAGAAAAGAAAGGTCTTTCGTGCAGAGCAGGAGAAAAAGGACGCAAAACGACAACAGAAACAGAGAGAAGAAAGGAAAAAGATTTTCAGAATGTTGGGAAAAGCAGAACAACGGAAAAAGAAAACATGATAGCGATCAAATTTAATATTCTTTCTGTCAATCTTTTCACATTTCTTGTAAAAAGTTGGGTATAACGATTCCACATCAAACAGGTCAATTGTTCTTCGGTGGTGATTTTCATCAAGTTTCTCCGCACCTTTCAGATGGACAGTAAGGTAGCATAGTAAGGAGAAGACATACACTTAACCCTTTAACCCCCTACAGTGACCAAGACAGAATTTCTCCTTACAATATCAATACAATATCAACCAGAGGAGTGATGAGAATAAAGAAAAATATCAATTTGGGGACAATGAGTTGATCCAATACTAAATTCTCTGAACTAACATAAGAATTAATGGTTGACAGTAAGGAGAATTACAAATTTGATCTGGGAGTTAAAGGATTAAGCCAGGCTTTGATTGAAATGGGTCAGTTTGTTTTTCTGTGTGTAGTTTGCACGGTCACGAATGACGTCTAGGACTTGCTCACGTGTTAGTGTGACGTCAGCTATTGTCCTCAGTGTATAATACAGACTCTTATTTGAAATAAATCCTTTTTTATGAATCTTGCAAAAATTGCTAGAATAAAATGAACGGAATACAAGAAAGCTGACTTAGAAGGAACAGCTGAACTTAATTTGGTAATGGCCGGATGGAAGTCGTAATAGAAGAAGAAAGTCAAGTTTTTTATACCAACCCTGTCATATCTTAGGACAGAGAACTGGGTAGTGAAACTGCTGCAGGTTGGTCGAAAGCCTCTCCGCATCTTCGCTTTTTCCTTTTTTCCCCTCTTCTAAAACGAGTGTATCTGCACATAATTTATAGTCTACGATAATATGTTTGGTCTGTCTGTTTGCAGCTTTGACAAGTACCGGAACGCAAATGGTTTCCAATTAGCAAATAACGAGGTAAACACAGGTTGAGAACCTTGTTGGATGGAAAATGGGGTAAACTCTGTTTGATTCTCGTCAAGCGTTTTTGACATTTCTCAACCCAACTGCTTTACCAAACTTCCTAAAATAGCGCTGATGTGACAATCCTTGTCGTAGGATGCTGCGAAATTTTCCTGCGGAAGCAATAATTTGGTGTTCCTAAATGTATGACATTGTGAATCAATGGATCGGTTTACATTAGCTGACCGGACAAACAGCAACATGCAATACTGCATTTACGTCACTGAAGAAAACTTACGCCATGATCCGCTTTGAAATCTAATTTTTTAGCAAACTTTTTCTAGTATAATTCGATATGACTTTCGCAATAGATAGAGAATCGATCTTGAAGACACAGTTTTTGAGGATGCGTTGCTATCTTTCTTTGCCGATTACTGACAATTTCGCTCGCGTGTTTATCTCGCTTACTGTAATCCACGAGAGCCAATGTTTTTCCTTGTTTATCGCAAACAGTCATCAGCATGCTGTTTTAATCGAGAGAAGAATATTCACGACAAGGTCTCTGTCCATGAATAGTTAACTAGTGTCTGATGCACCTTTCTTACGAAGCTTTAAGTTTACTCTTAAGTGTCGTCTATGAAATATTGTAATGTGCACAGGCGTCAATAAAATGTCTTACAACCTGCTGTGAACAACAGTTTCCAATTTTAGCCTTAAAAACACCTGCTAAGTATGTACGGCGTCTACTCAGGCCTTTACCTTCTTTCTCTCACATTTGCAAATTTTTGTTATGAGCAAACATTATCAATTAAAGTGACGCCATAAAAGTAACAAATTAGATCCAATACAACGAACGTAATTCACGAAAACCTCTTCATCGTTGGATAAAAGATAGACAAGATAACACCCACTAGTATGAACCAATAAGATTGCATGTTAAGGTCATTAAAGCACGAAACTGTCAGAAGTTAACCTTCACGTCAATATTGTTATTTCCTTTATAATTATGCCCATGCAGAGGTTCCATATATTTATCTTCTGACTTGACAAGCATCCTCCAAACAGAAAAGGGCGAGGGTTTGTCGGAGAAGCTTGTCATCTTCACTGAATCCCTGGTGAAAACTGAAGGTAACATGTTCAATTTTTGCAAAGGCCTCCCGGTTACTTATAAAATTAGCCATTCATCACATTTAGTGTTTTAGTATATCGCAAGTCTTCAGAACGTATTCGTGAGCCTAAATCTACCCTGCAAACGTTTTTTTCTCTTTTCGCCTAAATCAGTATTTTTTTGTCATTGAAGCCTTAATGGTCTCGGTTACTTTGTATTTCGCTCCAAACTACCACAAAGGATACCAAGCGATCTTTTGACCGAATAAATTCGCTTTTCGTTATCAAGTCAGTCACGAGATAAAATTACGGATATTGCTGTTTGGCTCGAGAGGTATGCCCAACTGAGTTACGCAGACGTGTTTCTTCGAAATAAAATATATCAGATCCGACATTGCTTTACGAAACAGCATCGCTATACGCTATATTTTTTGTTTTTAAACTTGTTGTATTTAGTACTTGAATAGATTCCCATTCATTTTTAATTCAAACAATTTCTTTTAGCCGTGCGGTGTTTTTCAAGCAGACGATACTTTATGTCATCATGAACAATTCCACATCAGGTTTGTCTTTCCGTCTTCCGCCAGTGAAAACAGGTTTTTTGCCGCCACAAATAAACGGACGGACAGGAGAAACAACTCAATAAAACTCTTTTAAAAAGGGCTCTTCCCAGAGACACTTGCTGGCTGCGGGAAGGCCAGAATCTATAACGACTGTTGACGATTCTTGAGACAATGACTTTGACAACAGAGTTTGTTTCAACGTAGGTTTGATCTGCATGTACCACTGAAGGTCACCCAACTGCTGATTTTCTGACCAAAGAAAACTTTACAAAACAGCTCTATTTAAGCCGAAGGTACAAAAGATTAGGTAATGCTATGAATTATCTAAAGGATCAGGTAACAGTAAGGAATTTCGCCTTCTGCAAGATTAATCATTTTTCAAAAAGCTCAGGTGTATAACAACTAAAAACAAGGCAATAACAGGTGACGGTTACAGTTTAACACTAATTATAGTTATGATTCGATGTTATGACTTTGGTCGCATTTACGCTTTGCTGAGCTAAGTAAAATCTCGCAGTTTCCACATGGAATCATATATATATTTTAGCGTTAACACAAAAACTTGATGACTGAAAATCCTATCATTACACGCCCCATTACTACTTTTAAAGGCAGACAGTTAAGTGTTTTTTACTGTTTTCGTGAACTTCCAGACGAGTAGAACCACAGAATAAATTTAAGGGAATCCTTCATGTGAACAGACCTAATTTAGCTATCAGACTTTAGCCATAAAATGCATGCATCCAGAAAGATATCCCTGATAGTCAAATTATTAAACATAGAATCGTTATTTTACATTAAAATGTTCTTTTTTAAATATTATTAATATATTTCGCATACATTGGAAAGAAAATATTTGAATGCGATTGCGCAAGAAAATCCTTGTTTCGCTTATTGAGTACTGAAAATTTTATACGGAAAAACTGTTTTAATTTCCGTTACAAGCCTAAAATCTTGTTTCATGCTACTGTTTCCAGATTTCCACTTCTTAAACGGAATTTGTCACACTTAAATCGTCTCAGCGCGGATCATCGAACGTTTTTAATAATTTTACAGACCTTTGCGCGTGGCTATTTATTTAACTAAATATTTTGACATTTTAATAAGTGCTCCTAAGTAATCTTATGTTTCTTATTGAATTTACTGACAAGATTGTCAATCTCTCTGTTTCTTCGCTTTTATCAATTAACTAAGGTGATCTAATCGCTCACTGATTGGTCAAGTCCTACTTGTTGTCCTACAGATTTTTCATAAAAGCTATAGACTTCACTTTTGTAAAATCGGATTACGCGTAACAACACACTTGGAATATCAGAAGAACGCTAGAAAAATTTATAAATTTTTTCTTCTTCTAGTTTTACGCTGGTCGATGGATAGAGAGTGCACTCTTTACTTAGTATCAAGTGACTCTTTTTCTCTCAAAGATAACCGAAATATCTCTTCTTTTGGTGAAATTGTATTTTGTTGTAGAAGAATTATAAGCGATATCTGTTAACAATGTATTTAACATCAAAACCAACAAGACGTATTTCTTCAAATTTTGAATTGTTGTTAAAAAAAATATTTTTTCCTCTGTATTTGGAAATACAAATTAACTTTGATTTTGAATTTAAAAAAACTATTCGGCCGCAAATGTCTTAAGGAGTTATTTTTTTTTAACATGAACTGGTAAGAAGTGTAAAGCGGTGTATCAACGAGTGATTTACGAGTGACGTAATGTCGTACCCAAATCCTACCGTGTCATTGAAATGAAACCGCTTGGCCGTGGAAGGTCTGGGTACGAGACTTCATTTGACGATTACAAATATGTACTCGATTGCGAAACGTTGATATTTAAAAAGTATGGCCATGAACGGTGACACCCAACGGCCTTTTTGGAAAATGATCGCACTGATACGTGATAAGTCTTATTGAATTCAAGTGATTCACGTTTTTCATTATTCATAAAAAAATATTTTTCTGTGATAATCCTCTTCTGTCAGGAAAGCTGGGATAGTTTTAAAAATTCACCAAGTGCAAGTAATGGTGGTTATGATGCACATCTGACCCACATAGCTGCATAGTTTCTCAATCATCTTTCATTGTATACGCTTCTTAGGTGCCAATGTTTTTGCAATCGAGTGTCCATCATTTACTGTGGTACGGATCACTATTTATTTGTTTCTTTATTGTTATTTTATTGGTTGGCTTGTTTGTTATTCATCTATCTGTTCATTTGACAGAAGGCAAAACATCTGGAATTAACCTGGAAGTAAGTGTCACCGTGCAAGTTGTTTTGACTCTGCTAGCGGCGGTCATCGCAACATTTGACCTGGTTGGCAACGTCATCGTCATTTATGTGACCTGCTCAAGAACGCCCATGCGTACAACAACAGATCTGCTGATTGCCAATCTGGCAGCCGCTGACCTCATGATGATACCCGTCATCGTCTACTTAGTGAAATTTTTTTATTACCAGTTTGACTGGTTCGGCGGTGTAATGGGACAGGTTACGTGTCGGTTAGCGATCTCTCTCCAGGCTTTATCGGTTGTGAGCTCCGTTTACAGTATACTGGCTATTAGTGTAGACCGCTGTTGTGCTATATTCTTTCCTTTAAAAAAGGTCTTCAATAAAACATGTATTAAAAGGTTAATTCTGGTCATCTGGGCAATCGCCGTGGCATTTGCTATTCCGCAATTTATGATTGCAACAGTCAAAACCAAGGGGAAAAAGCACAGATGCTATCCTAGTTGGAAAAACAGTGGAATGTCTGCGAGCCATTATACTCTTGTATTTGTGGCATTTAGTTATATAGTGCCCTTAGCAACCATAGCAACTCTATACCTCGTCACCACCGCGAGGCTCTGGAAGAGTGCAGCCCCAGGCCACCACTCGGAGTTAGCAATTAAAAGAATCAGAGCCACGCGCCGCAAACCCACTAAGATGTTGATTGGCATAGTCACTGTGTTTGCACTTTGTTGGTTTCCTTTACAAGCAGCGGAGGTATTAAAACGATTTGCCTATGAGGTTTACTGGAGCCATATTCCCTTTGAAGTAAACGTTGTCTTGCCGTGGTTTGGGATCGCGAACAGCGCAATAAACCCGTTCATTTATCCTCTGTTCTGCGAGAAATATTGCTATGAATTCAGGAGAATCCTTTGCTTTTATTCTTTAAGGAGAGGCAAAAATCGCGCAAAATCTGGCCTGACGGTGATGACTGGGCTGCCAAAATTTAATGGCGACACCTGTAAGCCTGATGCAATCATTGCTAAATATAAAAAAAACGGCTGTTCTCCTAGAAACATTAGAACTACTTACATAACTTCGATTTAAATTCAAGTGACAATATAGTAAAAACCTACGAATGCCCTGATCTGGAGACATATGGTCTTGGTGAAGATGCACCATTAGAAAACTTTCCCCTCTTTTTGTTCGTTTTTATTCTTTTTCATATTTACAATTGCCTTGTGTTTTTTGCTGTTATTCCTTTTTTTTTTCTTAAGTCACTTGCGCCAGTGTTACTTTACTTTCCGATACTTGTACCAAATGTAGCCAGCTGTTCCAATTCATCGTACCGCGCATAGACCTAATGTTTTTCTTCTTCTTTCTCGAGAGGAATTAACTCAAAATTGATTGAGAAATAAAGTAAAACCGCGAGATATTTTCTCTTAAAGATCTCTTGAAATGGGCTTCAGTCTAATAATAATAAAATAATAACTTTATTAATCTCCTCAAAAAGGCTTTTCAGCTTAATTTACAATGTCAAATATCTAAAACTTAGTTTTCTAAAAATACCCTTAAAAAATGCTGTTTTATTTTTACTTTAAATACATCTAAATTAGTGATAGACTGAAACTCATCTGGGAGACTATTCCACAGCTTTTGGCCTCTGAAAGTAAATGCGCGCTGACCTGCAGCCGTCCTACAGAGTAGTATATGTAGACGTTCCCTATTCGTTGTGTTGCTGTTCTAGACTAAACTTAACAGTCTTTATATTGAATAAAATCTGATAATGTTTAATTTAACAGCTAAACCACTGTACAAAGAAGTCTCCTATAATCTTGTTTCTAATTATACCATTAGCCTAGAAATACTGACTTCTGATCCTGGGTATCTTTATTTTGCACTATGTATACCAAAAGAATGAAGAACACTGTAAAAATATTACTTTAATGCTCAGACAAGAATGACTCAATTTGATCTGGTTTACCCTTATTGTTGATGTTGTTAGATCATATTCTTTCTACTATAAAAGTCGCGAAATAAAATAATAACTCTAATGCAAGTCGCAGTTTAAAAGATTCTCTAGTTCTCAACATAAAAGAAATTTGCAAGTGATCAGAATTTTCATCAAAGTGTCATTCGTTAGAAATTTTCCAACATCCTGTAGTCACGGTTGTGATTTCTCCGAAAGAGAAGGGACTTTCCTTATGTTTAAAGCTCTTAAAAGCTGTTTAAAAAAATCCTCAAACGCGATTGATGACCAGATCGTATGTGACATGCGTCATACTCGTAAACAACAGATCGGACTCCTGTACTAGATTAGCTTCCAAATTATATTCTACCCGGGTCTTTCGAAATCCTCTTAGATTTATCTAACACAGTTTCACTTGTCCTCTTAAAAGCGTTTTTCTCCACTTTCGAGGAACTAGCCGCGTGATATTGGAAGCAGACTTGGAAATCGCTGTAGAAAAGATTTGCGGCTCTATATAAGAAGTAAACTCGGAAAACTGAGAACAAAAATATTCAAGAGATTTCAGGTCTAACGTACGTATTACGATTATCCTAGACACTACATATCCATAGTACAGCTAAGAAACTGAATTTCCATTGGTAGTGATGCAAATGTTTGCTATGGGCGAAACTTATAAAAAAGAAAAAAATCTCTCCTCTTCAACTTCGAGCTGCGCCTAAGCCGTTTCAATATCAAACGAACGGTTGTTCATTTCTAAGTTGAAATTATGATTTTTAATTTAGGATGTCGTTTTCAGTTTCATCTCAATAAATTTAAGAGATTTTGTTCCTCTAAATGTGTACCAAATAATTCCTTTATAGTCATTCCCATTTTTTCCCTGATACAAGCCGTTAGGATTAGCAGAGTGACAATAATTAAACCACCACCCTCCAGTATAAATTCTCGAACAATAGTTAGAACCGGATAAGTCATTGTTTCTGTCTTTCGTACTGAATTTCATTGTATTATGATTTGTCAGTGAATCTCCTGCTGTTCCTGAAAACGATCCAACTTCAAGTTTATACTGAGACTTCTCGTCCCCAACGCTAAACCGGTCATACTTGGCATACGCTTTGGCCCTGTTCCAGTCCTCCATGTCAACTCTTAGGGAGCTGGGTGTAGAGGCTATCAGTCGGTGGATCTTTTCATTTCCCAGCCAAAACTCATCAGTCAGCTGACCAAACCCTGCTTTGTAGTCGTCCCATCCCCGAGAGAAGTCTACTGAGCCATCTCGCCTTCTCTGAAAGACAGTCCAGCCTCCGCCGTCAGTATGCATGTCACAATACACTCTGAACTGTCCTTTCCCGTCTGGGTCGATTTTGTATATCCCACTCTGGGTGTGGTCATTTTTCAGCAGCGTCGAGCAATCTTGAAAAAAAAAAAAGTTTTTTTTCAATATTATCATGCAGCTGAGTGAAGCAAGTCTATATTTGCAAGACAACAAACAAGACATCATTTGTTCATTACATTTGCAAAACTTGAAACATGAAAGTGACGCAGTTCAATACAAATACAACATTTAAAAAATACTCAGTAAGGGCCATGAGCGATTCTGTGCGGGAAGGAGGAGGGTGAGAGGAGGCGGAATATGCCTTACGGCCTGGTGAAGGGCCCGCGAGATGCAAGCTGAAACAAGAAAGGGAAAAAGTGAAGGAGACTAGTGGAGTGAAATGGATTTGACATCAACAAAAAATGCAAAAATTAGGTCAATTGTGATCATGCAATTGTCTTACCTGATTTCACATGAACTTTGCTTATTGCAGAATTCTCTAAAACCCCTCCACTAGTGGCGACGCACATGTAAATACCAGCGTCTTCATGTGTCACGTTTCTCACTGTAAGTGATCCATTTGACCACTGATTCCATCCATCAGGAAGCTGTGCTCCAAGTCTCTTCCAAGAAATGACCGGTTGCGGGTCACCAGTTGCGCTGCAGTGTATCGTTAAAGAAGCACCTGCGGTCAAGGAAACATTTCCAGGAGGCCTGATAGTGAAGTTAGGAAGTCTAACCACGACTAAGAATGTTTGCATGGAGGTAGTAGCCAGAAGATTGGAGGCGGTACAAATGTAATTACCAGAATCTTTCATCTGGATGTTGAACACTTCGAGTATACTGATATTGCCAAGGTAACTGTAAACACTTGAGTGTGGAAGCTTGCCAAGTGGCCTGCTCCATGTCGTTGTTGGACGGGGATACCCAGTCACATGGCATATCGGTAATGTCACATTAGTTCCTTCCTTTACGTAAGTCGGCCCCGGATGTAAAGATACAAGAGGCTTGACTGTGGAGGCAACACAAATTTCAAACGATTCCTTATCAACTACACTTTGTTAGAGATAACTTAAATAAAGCTGATAGTAAGAAAAGGGAGAAAGAGAGAAGCAGGAGTTGGCAATAACTACGTGTTTTTGCATTGCCTGATCAAGGAGAGTCTTTTTCTTAGTGCATAAGATATGCACGACCAGTTTCTCTCTGATAACTACAAGTGACCCGACTTAATCATCGATTGTAAATATTTTTTTCTCTCACCGTTCACTGTAAGTTTTGCAAATCCTTCCGCTTTTCCTAAAATATTTCTCGCCGTACACGTGTAGATGCCGGAGTCACTACCAGCAACTTTCTTCCACGTAATCTTTCCAGAGGTCATTTCCAACTTTGGACTCAAAGTGGAATCATTTCTACTCCATTCAATTATAGGCTGAGGATTTCCACTCGCTGAACATTGCAACGAGGCTGCCTCGTTTTCGTTTACCCTCAGCGTTGAAGGCGAAATACCAACCACAGGAGATGAAATAGATTCTCCAGGGTCTCCTTTCATTCCGGGTCTACCAGTCACCCCTGGGGGCCCTGTCTGTCCCTTCTTCCCTGGCTCTCCTTTGTGCCCCCGAGGGCCCATGATGCCTTGCTTTCCACCTTTTCCAGGCGATCCCATGATTCCTTCGTCGCCCTTTATTCCTTTTTTGCCTCTCCTTCCCCGGGATCCTTTTGTTCCGCGTGGTCCAGGTTGACCTGGAGGGCCTGGAGGACCTTGTGAGCAGGAATGTTTTGCTTGACAAAGTTTCATCACTCTGTCTGATAGCAGACTTTCAAGTCTCACGACAAATTGGTCTCTCTCTTTGTTTTCAGTGATATTCAAATCGTTTGCAACATGTCGCTTAATTCTAATGTCGTTTGCGATGTTTGAGTGAATCCCTGAAGTTTTACCTAAACGAAGAACAAACATGAACAGTCGAATTGTTAGGTTAATCAAGTGGGAAATAAGTAAAATGGCAGACACCTTTGTGGCTTCTTCTCATTTCTAAAGGTTGTTTTGTTTGTTTGTTTAGTTGTTGTTGTTGTTTGTGTGCTCTTGCTATAAGATTCAGTTTCGTTTAGTTCAGTTTTAAAAGTGAGAGGCGACTTTCCAGGTGTAGATTTGTATGCTGAATTTCCTCTCCACAGAAACTATACATTTCCTTTTTTCTTGTTTTTCTTGTTTTATTAAGGTAACATCCTTTAGCTGATAATTTCTGTCAATTCTTATTAGCTGCTTGCTGGATAATATTGACTCTGTAAGGAGAGGTTACAAGCCAGTCACTTCTTTGGGTTTAAAGCCAACAGAAAATTCGCTATCCGAAAGTCCTTGAAATTTAGGACTGACTTTTCAATCGGTTGATGCATCAATTTGTGTTACTTTTATAAATCCTTTGACATTCTACCTTGCTGTCTTGCTAATCACGAAAGGATTTTTGCAGAGCAAACGAATATCAGATATCAAAATGTTTTCATATTTTATGTTTTTCAAAATAAAAGGAGGATTAAGTCTACGATAAACACACATCAGAATTTTGCTGAACACTCGTCTGGTTTAATCTACTGACGTATTAAGTTTCAGCACGAGATTTGTCGGTTTCACTGAACGTAGCGTCGTATCTAAGTCATTATTCATACTTCTGTTTGTACAGGGATTGGAATTTCCCTCACTTTCAAAAGTGCATTCTTTTCTGGATCAGCATAATGAAGTTTTAGCTGCTGATGAAACGACCGTAAGCATTTACAACAGAGCACAAACTTTCTAACGTGTAAGAATGTTACTGTCGATGCCCTATGTCGGCTTCAAGTATCATGCAGATATTCCGAAGAGGCAAACAAACACAGTTGAAGAGCGGAAGTTGTTTCGCCACTTTCATGATGTACAAACATAGAAGTAAACCCTGGGAATGTGAAAATGTGTTTTATTTTTTTCAAAATAAAAACACAGGATTAAGTCTACGATAAACACGCAAGAGAATTTTGCTGAACACTCTAAGATGCGTCTGGTTTAATTTAATGACGTAATAAGTTTCAGCACAAGATTTGTCGGTTTCACTGAACACAGCTTCGTATCTACGTCATTATTCATACATCTGTTTGTACAGGGATTAGAATTTCCCTCACGCTCTAAAGGGCATTTCTTTTCTGGATCAGCGGAATGTAGTTTTAACTGCTGATGAAACTACCGTAAGCGTTTACAATAGAGCACAAACTTTCTCACGTGTGAGAATGTTACTGTCGATGCCCTACGTCGGCTACAAGTATCATACACAGTCAGATATTGCGAGGAGGCAAACAAACACAGCTTAAGAGCGGAAGTTGTGTCGCCACTTTAATGATGTGCAAACATAGAAGTAAACTTTGGCAACCTGAAAATTTGTTTCGCAAAATTGTGGCAAAGAAATTCTTACCTGTTAAATCCATAGTTGGGTCCTTTTTACTCGATTTCACTTCGCTTGAAGAAGGATCTTTGACCCTCAGCAATTTCTCCATCTCACTCATTCTCTCTTCCTGTTCATTAAGTTTGATTTCAACTCTTACAAAACCAGCACAGTAGATCAGGACAGAGACCACAGAAATCAGAGTTCCAGTCGAAGTAAATGCACTCTTCGTTCGACCCTGTGTCATATTTAAGCGATGCCTAAACGCTTTCGACTCTAGATTTGTCTTGAATTCAATCGGGATGTGTTACAGCAACGTACTAACTTGACATGAGGAATGTATCGTTTGACCAGATATTCGATATTACACTATGATGTCTTTGCACGTGATTTTACGTCTTGTTCCCAGTTTCTTTATTCCGTGATCCGTTCCAAGACACTCAGACACCGTCGACCTAGCGAAGTACCTCAATCTCAAACTGCCTCTTTTTAGTTCAATAATACTTCGCCTTTTGTGAAAGCTGAAAATGAAAAGCATTTTCCTGTAACGCAATCTCAAATTACCTCTTTTTAGTTCAATAATACTTCGCCTCTTGTGTAAGCTGAAAATGAAAAGCATTTTCCTGTAACGCAATCAGTAACGCAACACGCATAGCCCGTCCGATCTATCTCAATTTGCAGCAAATTTTCTCTTTATTCATACGCGGATTAAAAACATCCGGAATACAATGATCTTGATGTTACAACAATATTACTGATTTAAAAAATGATAACGAAGCTAATCTGGAAGTTAGGGCAGTTAAAGAAGCCGCAAAATGAAATGAAAGAGGAAACTATCTCTTTTTTTTTTTTTTTTTTTTTTTTTCATTCCACGCCAGTGCTATTGCCTAATCCTAATCGTATGTTCACTAAACGCCTAAGGGAAGCCAACGAGCGCGTGAAATGTACTACCTTCACAAGCAATCGCACACAACCTTCTTTTATAGGCTTCGGTTTTCTTAGCACACTTTTGAGTTCAGTCATGGAGATAATAAGCATTTATTGGATAAAGTTGATCCTGATATCATGAATTAGTATATACCACACAAGTTGATAGTGCTTTGATAGTGCGCGCTGATTGCTTAGTTCGAAATTTAATGGCAAGCACTATTCACTTCCGCGTCATCTCCGTGTCAATTTCCGACCATATTCGGTATATTGAGAGAAATAAACCGGTTTTTTTTCGGTATCTGTGCGATATGGATGTTGCTTATTATCGGTGAAAGTGGTGGATATTTACTCACCACTATTCACCTCCACTTTGCTTACTAATTGGTAATTATACTTCAGCGAACCTTTTTTGCCGTTTCTCGAAATGTATCACCTGACCGAATATACCCCAGCTAAAACTGGTGAGTATCCAAGGATATACCTCGAGTGATATTCCCCAGTTTTCAACTTGACGTCTATTCCGATAAAAGCTTTCCTATACAGTTTAATTCTAGATGGAAGAGCGTTTTGTTATTGTTACAGAATATTGGACAAATTTATTTGTTCATAAAGTCGTACTAGAGAACGTTGAAAAGTAAAAATCTACACAGTAAATGATAACTTTTCAAAAACATTTCTCCCGCGCTTTGCCAAAATATTTGAAGGATAATCATCACAATAGCCTCCATTTGACGCAAAAACATGCTCAAGTATTGGTCCTTAGCCGGGATTTATCTTTGCCTCAAAGTTTACAGTTTTCCTTGAGATTCGCTCTCCGAAAGCTGTTCGCATCTCGGAACAGATAACGTCCCTAGACACATCCGTGCTTATTTCCGAGCCAAATGGAGGTTATTGTTTATTTATCAAAACCGAGGTCTGAGCTATCTGCTAAAGCCGAGGGCTGAGGCAGATAACACAGACACAAGGTTTGATAACCATGCGAAAATCGAATTCAATAATTGTTGCTTTATACATTTTTAAAATTGTTCACTCATTTTGAGTTCCTCTCTGAGTTTGCGAAAGTTTGAGAACACTTCACGGACGAGGCAGACTTTGAACTTGACATAATAAAAGCAATATCCGCTACAGTTACTGCAGCTTTTCTTATTTATTTATTGTGTATTGATTAAATGCTTTCGACCAATCAGATTTTCCATAGTAAGTTTAATGTATGATATCATTCCTCATGATCAGTATTAATATGTCACAGCCCTCATCAAAATATAGATATTTCAAAATCGAAATTTATCCATTACTTTAATGAAATTAGAAAAATTCAAGGACAAGTCTCAGAAAAATCAGCACTTGATTCTCTTTGAATAGAGCGGTCCTGTAAACCGATTCTAGCCTAGATTATATTTATGCAGAAACTTTTTCGATACATTCTTAATGCTTCAACATTTAATCAATTATTTAAAACTAGTACCTAGCACAGATAAAACGATATTTAAAACACTACGTTAGTTTTAATTGTCAATAAATATGCGCGTACTTGATATGCCTCTTTTGAATAAGTTACAACTCAACTTTTCCTTACCCTTTGCTCAGCAGCGCCCGGAATGCTTGGACACCACTAGTTAGTATATACCAAAGATGAATAGTGTTTTTCGTGCGCTAAATTGGCTAGTTTGGAAGTGTGACGAGCAATTACAACTCGCCTTCGAGCTGCCGACCAGACAAAATAATATGTCAAGATTATGACTTCCGACCATTTTTCGGTATGTTGAAAGAAATAAACTAATTTTTTTGTTATCTATATTGTTTGGTTCATGTTGATATAAACCAAAACAATTATTCATGAGCACTAAAGCAGGATCTTTCTATTTAGTCTCTTCGATATTTATCTTTGTCCTCCATAGGTGCTTTAGTTCGCCTTTTTGTACTTACAGTAGTCAAGTTCAATCCTCGCGTGGAATTCAAATCTATCCTCGTTCCACGCTTTCCACAACACTCTTTCAAAATATGATGAAACGCATTTCTTAACTGAGCATTCATTAGCGCATAAATTACAAAATTGCAGCATGAGTTGCCGTACGCTAGCGTTATAACAGTTCTCTGGAGTGCGCCTGGAATCAAATCATCCCCTCTGAAAGCTCGAATAGTTGTGGTAACAAAGTAAGGCATCCACATGATAAAAAACATACCTACGACCACTGCTAAAGTTTTAACGGCCTTCATTTCCCTTTTAAACACATTGTTTTGCGAGCCTTGATTCCCAGCGCTCTCTAGTGCAGAGATCCTGCGGCTGTTTCTGCGGACTTCTTTAAAAATAATTGCATAGGCAATAAGCATTACAGAAACCGGCAGAAAAAAATAAAACACAATCAACAGTATTGTCAAAGTTGGCTTTTTAAGCCAGTTTATCTCACACTCTGCCAGGACTGGGTTGAAACGCTGTTCAGCAAGCCCCAAAGTAGGGAAAATGGACAACACAAAGGACTGTACCCAGATGTATATCAGCACAATGACAATTCTTTTCGGGGTGACTTTCGCGTCGTACGATAACGGCCATTTTATTGCGATAAGTCTTTCGATGCTGATGGCGCAAAGATGAAGGATGGAAGCACTACAAAGAAGCACGCCGCACATCGAGGATATATGGCACCATGTTATTCCAAACACCCATTTTCCAGCATAAACTGAAATATTGATGTAAATCACGCGAAGAATAGGAACCAACAGATCAGCACCCGCCAAACTGCACACTAAATAGTTCGTCAACCTTCTTAAATTCTTTAATCTCCAAACAGCAAGGCACACCAAGCTGTTTCCTAGAAGAGTTAAGATTGAAAGCGTGGAGAGAATGATACCATAACAAATTGATTCATCCGAGGGTATTTCTGTCAACATGACACGATCGTTCGTTTGAAGGATACTTTGTTAGCTTTCCGAACGCTAAACAGTATTCGAAGGAAGTAACCGGAGTCAGCTCTGAAAAGCAAAAAGGAGATATGTATACATTAAAGAAAAGTCACTCAACCGCGTAATAACAGATCACCTTTGTATTCAAGTACTATTTAAACCTGTCAAGTGATAAAGCTTTCGAACATTTTCGACAATGACAGTCCATTGTTTTTTCTCACAAGTGTCATCTCCTCGGGATAAATGGAACTGTGAATTAAATATTAGCAAACAGATTTTAAATTACTTTAAGATCTCTGAAAAGAAAACATTGCAGGGTATTAAGAAACCTAGACAATGCCGATTTGTAATCTGTTCAGTCCTGATAAAACACGCGCGCAACATGACATGAAAAGGTTTAAATGAAAAGTTTAAAAATTGCTTTTTAATCTTTCTCATTTCGCGGGTTTTCCGTAATTACGACTTGGGGTAATTGATAACGATTTACAGAAAATATATTGCTTGCAGATTTTTATCTAGTGGCTACACTGTGTAGAGCTGAAAACTTCATCCATACGATTTCTTAAGGCCCTAGAATACGTTAAAGATAGTTTTAAAAGTGAAAAATCTTGAACTTAGTGATAAATACTGCGATAAAACTGATGAAGGCAGCAAAAATGAATTTTTTATTTTAGCTTGGATTTAGCTTGTTGTCAATGTTCTCATTTCAGATGTGTGAACATTCGCAATCCAATATCTGCATCAATCCATCGATTATTGAATAGAGCTTCCGACAGGGTCGATTTTTAAATGAATGCACCTAGAACGCAAAGTGAAAAAACTAATAATAATGTTAGGTTTGTTAATTCTGTTGTCGGGATCAAAATACAAAACTGTGAACTGCCGTTATAAGCATCGGAGAAATATTTCCAAACCATGTGGGTTTTTTCGTAATGGTTTTTATTTGTACCGTCAGTCCTCTTGACGAAAAGGCTTATTCAAGGCCGATCTCCACGAGTCAAATTTATGGATTACATTTTTTTTGCGCTTGAAGTATTTGCAATTTCCCATTACAGCACGCCGAAAATAACTCAGAACAGGTGAGAAATGTATTACAAAAATAAGACGTGAGGGCTTGGACGCCACTCAGCTTCAATCCTCCCCCCCCCATTCCCTCTCTACTAGCCCTGATTGGGAAAAAAGAGAACCTGGGAACAAGATTAAACCCCACTGTCAACTCCAAACACGCTATAACTGTTAAGTGACGAATTTTGCACGCGCACAAATGAAAACTGATATTAGATGTCGTACGACAGTTGCTCCATTTCGGCATCCAGCAGCTGAATTTTTCACCTAAATCCTGGTGTAATTCTCTTGTGCCCGATAAAGTGGTATCTGTCACAGAGAGAACTTTCACGTGGAATCTCCTTTTCTGAACCAGGTCTGCAAAGGAGACGTCCTCACATAGGTGCTGGAATTTATATCAGTCTCCATAGAGGAAGCGACTAGGAGGATTACTGCTTCCTCTCACTCCCGAGCATTTTTCAGGTTTCCGTAACAAAACTCGGTCGTAGCAATTTCTACACTCAAGTGGAGAGAGACACTATGAAGGCAAAGAAGTATAGTGGTCAAGATCAAGAACACATCAGAATTACTCTGAATAGTGATCACGCCCAGACCCCTATATGGCACCCTCTCGATCGTACCCAGGTCTCTCGATCGTACACAGACCACTCGATCGAATCCAAACCTATAGATTGTACCCAGACCAATAGATGGAGAGTCCAGCTCGGGAACCATTGTCTCTATTTCCATCTGGTTTCCCGGACATTTCTGTGGACAGCGCCGAGAGAAGTTTTGAGAAAACCCCACAAAAAGTTCTGTTGGCTTCTTGTGATAACCTAACTTCTCATCCAAAAGGAAAAGCATATCCTCTTCGATAATGATATAACAGGTTTAATTTTAGACATCTTAAGCGAGAAGTTAGTCGTTGACAAGTCTCCTCACGATCATGATTCAGTTACAGTAATAAAAAGAGTTAGAGACAAATAATAAATTTGACTTTCCTAAGGGGAATCGAACACTAACCTTCCGGAATACACAATAAACTACTGTGTATTGAATACACACTGAAACTACTGTTTCATTTTAATGACATAACCTAAACAAGGAACAGGTAACAGTAAGAGATTATAATCTCTTTTTACAAACACTAATTCGGTGCTACTACCTGAACACCTGAATGGTGTTTGGTAGCCTGTGGTACCAAACTAATATCCTGAAGAAAGGCGGTAAGTTTCTAAAGAACCTGTGGTGCTGCGTTGATGAAAGAGTGTAACATGGTAATATAGTATTATCAACTGAGTTTTATAACGTAAATTGGCTACTGTAAAGAGTTTCAAAGTTTCATTCGCTCTGATGAAGGGCTAATGCTCAAAATGTTAGCTTTGAAACTCTTTACGGTGGCCAATTCAAGTTATCAACTCAGTTGATAATGCTATATTACCCTAGTATTTTGAGGCACGGGTGCAAATCCCGTTGAAGTTGATTTCTCTTTCAGGCTTCTTCTCCGCATTTCTAATAATTACAGTCCACCTATGTGGATTATTTATTTGCTGACAGATCATGCATCAGTTACCCGTCTACTTTCTAATCACCTTCTTCAACTGAATGCTGATTTTCGGTTTGAAACATGCTGTTGACTGTCAGGTGTCGATATCAAATTCCGATCTGCATAAGGCGCATTATGTTTGTCAGACAAAGTTTTCAGCATTCTGCGTTTTCATTATCGCATATCAACAAAAGCTGAGCGATGAAACAAGCTTCTGAATCTGATACTCACACAATTTCTCCTCGTGAACTCAGATCACAACAAAAGAAGATTAAAATGTTTGGCTGTAAATTTCTCTCCATTCAGGTTCTCCCTCGCGGTCAGGACAAGACCAAAATTGCAGAGTTGAATTCTCTTATTAGCGAAATATAGTCACAGCTTAATGAAGCAAAATAAGGAAAATTTTTCACGAAATTGCTCCGGAAAAAAAAATGATGAACATGATCAACAGCCATAACTCCACTTTATTTTAGCGCTTATTACTGACTAATGCCATGGACAAAACAGGCAAATTGTCATTTTAAAATAATTCGTATATATAAAGATTAGTGAGTCTATACAATAATCACGATTAAGAAAAAAAAAATTAAAATCTGAGAGATTTCTTACCTTAAAACTTTATCATTTTAGGGACGTGAAGGTTTCGATATCAATGAGGCATTGTTTTTTATGCGTCTTTCCGAGAGCTGGCTTTAGAGGTAATATTCCCTCAGTATAAGTCAGTTGTGATATTGCATCTCAAATGATATCCGTTCTTTTGAGTAAACTTTGGTTTGCGACTTAATTTCTCCGGTAATGAACGGGCCTCAACCAATGTTTTTAATTATAGAGATGAAGCTCGAAGCTGCAGATCGAGACAAGCTTGATGGTCTAATGGCTGAAATTTCAGAAAACAGCTGCCCTTTACAAAGTAAAGTTAATAAGGGAGATCGGGATGCATTAGGTGGCATGACGTTCTTCTGAGCTAATTTGTGTATCTATGTAAGCTTGGGGCACTTAGCAGTTTGGATACTAGCATAAGGTTACGTACATTATCTTTCATCCGCCGGGGAGTTTTGCAATAGCAAAAGGAGAGTTTTGGCAAACGATGGTCTAAAATCCCAAGAAAGTTGAAATTGTAAAAATTTTTTACTTTTCATTTTTTTTTTTTTAATTTTTTCTTCATTCAAGGTAAATTCGGCCATTTCACATCCAAAAAATAAATATGATGTTTATAGAGTTATGTACACAAACTGCTAATAACTCCCCAATACTACACTGTTCAGCTACAGGTTTTTTCATCAGTAGACCGGTAGAAAGAGATCGAACTTTTCCTAAGACGTTTTGAATCTAAAATTATTAGCTGAACGATGATTCTACGATTAGTTTTGCGAGGTTTCTTGGCGTTTTAAAAACATTTATTGCAGACGCTAATTATAGTTAATTAAGCGAAATGGAATGTCAAATTAATTACAAATGTCATACTGTCGCGCCTGACAACATTTTCAAGAAACTGAGCATGGTCTTGAATTTTTCTCAACTAATAAAGCTCTGAAAAGCCAGTTTAGATAAAAATTAGAGTGGGACGTCGCGACCCCGCAGTAGTCTTCGAAGAAATCGACGAAGGCGAACCACACTTAGAATAGATATTGGTAGTTTCCTTTCATTTCTATTTTCGTACATGTTTTGTTTTTTTTAATTATTTCGTTGCTGATCTTAATCGTTTTACTTTCTTTGTTATATTCCCCTTATATCAGCTTTCATCTACTGTCAATCGTCAACACCTTATTACGTCTAAACTTTGAGAGCCAAAATAGCTTATGTTCCAAATCCATTTTTCCTTCGTTCCGTTTCAACGAGATTGTCACTTACTAAAGCAGGAAAAAGATTCTTTCTTAAAAAAAAAAGAGAAAAAGAAAGAAAACCAGTTCTACGTTCTTTTAAGTCCCTATAAATCCACTGACGCTCAAAAATTAAAGTTGAAAAGCAATTTCGCTCCAGATGTAGTTTAATATGATTTCGCAATATTTATATTTTTGTTTCCTGAGCATCTCCTGAGATTTAGATCCGAGTGAAGACTGTGGATGGGTTTACTTAGTAACTCACAGCTAACGCAACGTATGGTATCCAATAGATTCCAAAAGGCCAGGGTCAAACCTTTGATACCTGTCGTTCAAATGCTTGCGCAATAATCTAAAAATGTTTGAACTTGTTGTGATGGGGAGATATTTCCTAATTTCTGTTTTTCTAGGGAATGATTCAAAGGAATGAAAGAAAGCTAGTGAGATCAGCAGACTTCGATTTTGTAGTTGGGGTTGTCAGTACGTAAATGTGAACTAAAGCGTACCACTTCCTGCAGGGATTATGCAATTGCCTTGGTTTATGTTATTTGCAATCCTCTTTTTTTTTTTGTTTTTTTTTTTTATAAATGAGGTTTCTAAGTATTCTTCATTAAAATATGCTACCAAAACCCACAGCGTCCATGCTGACAATCGTGCCACATTTAAAGTATTATATGTCCAATGATGTTGCGGTTTGAGTCTGCAAATCTGGTAAAGATCTAACTTGTCCAAACCGACGTACAAAGAAAATGAATAGTGGAAAATTTATCTTCCCGAGCCGGGTATCTGATTAATGTTACTTCTAAAACGCTGATTCGCTCCAGCTAGTCCCCAGGCTTCCTTAGTCGTTAAAATTCAAATTGGGGGCTGTTTCTGTCATTTTAGATATCACGTGATACGGAGGAAGAGCTTTGTGCCCGGCCAGACCTCTAGACTGGAGAGGATATCAAGACTTCATGTGTGTCGAGAACTTTACACTAGCCTTGTGTTACGCGAATCACGTCATTTCTTTATTCAGTATATACACATGCCAAAATTTCATTAAATTTGGTATAAAACAGCACTCATAAATTTTTCAGACTACATGATGCGTTCGCCCCACGGGCTTGTACTATTTTGTTTGCCTTAAAGAAATTTGCTCGCGATGATTTACACCAGACTGCACTCGAAATTAAATGATTACCTACACTATTTACGTACACGGAGATATTTCTCAGTTAAGCCGAGATTTTCGGAGATATTTTTTCCGCTTTTAGGCACCTTATTAGGAACCATAGCGTAGATTTTCCCTTCCTTGAATTAATTTTTCAAATCGGTGGTCGTTTCTTTTCGTTTCTTAGCTATTTCTTTACGCAACAAACGTCTTTGTAATTTTTGTAGTCTTCCCGCATGCTTCAGGACTTTCCGTAATCACTAGTGATCGAGAAAAAAAATCTTAAAAACATCAATCTGAAGCTTGTGGTTGACCGCGGCGAACTCCAAGCTGACACTTTTATCAGGACTCAGTTCGGAAACGCGATAATGTGAAACAAAGAAAAATGACATCCTTTCATCATTAACGCTGGGATGAACAAATAAAAACAAAACAAAGTGACATTCATTGGACACCTAAGCGCATGTACTAGTAATTAATTTTAAAAGAGGTTTGAATGTTTCGGATATTATATGCTCCAGTAGATTTTAACTACTGGCATAGAAGTTTTTTTCACTATGAAGTCCATTTTGTGGTTTGTATTCACGCGTGAGAAAAAAAAAACAAGCATGATCCTCGCAGGTGTACTTAAATTTAAGAAGATGCAGAAAAGGAGACTGAAAACCTTTTGTTTCGGCGGGATTCAAAACCTCGCCTCGCAGATTCTAGTTGAGTGCTATTACGAATTGAGCTGCGAATCCACACTTTGCATGGGAGAAATGTAAATTTTTGAGGTAAAAGTGTTTATCACATGGTAGGAGTTACTCATATAACTAAAAAAGTTCTTGTCTGTGCATTTTTTCTTCATCAAATGATAAACAACTTGGAGGGAATGGACGCTCTAACCTGTACGACAAAATAATTTCTTTTTTTTTTTTAAAAATGTAACTTAGATTGCAGCCAAGAGCCTCGACGAGGAATATCTCATCGAATTCAAAGATATAAATTATATTAACTGTAAAAAAAAATATGAAAAAGGACGACAAGAAAGTATCAGCAGGATCTTTTAATTTCCTGTCCAATAGAACGATGAAGAACAAGCAACTGACGCTTTTGGCTGTATTCGAAAACCGTTATCACAAGAGATTATTTACCATGGATCATTAAAAAATCTGGCTGATAATAAATTTGGCTGATAATAAATTTGGCTGATACACTCACAAAACAAAAGATCGGCGCAAATGGTGCTTAAAGTTAATAACACTCGGTTTCACTTCAGTTTATGGGACGCGCACACATAGCAATCCTAGGATCCGCGCAATAACTAACTTTGATAACGATGATCTTGTGGCTAAAGTCAGCGCATCAGTTCAATGAAAGTAGTTTTTCTAGCTGTGTAAATAGAGAGAACTTTGATCTGTTATGTGGTTGAGCTAAAGACGACCAGTTGACCAGAAAATGACAGTTTCGTCACAACCTGTCAGTCAAATCGACAAAATGGGGAATAAAACTTGCAACATTCGAAAAACGTGCATGAAAAGTTAATTAAGAGGAACATAATTGCTTCTTATATTAGTTTTTCGCCGTATGCCATTAAGGTAGAAAGGGTCATTTCACATGTAATTTGCTCAAAGGCTGTATTTCTCTGGAAAGACGCGACGCTCATTTTGAAAGCGTCTTTCTTAATGCGACATCGATAGTTGGGATCTTCTGAGTCAACTTGCTCGGATCAAGATTAAGCATAGAGAGACTCCAATCAGGCTTCGGTTGAAATTTATCATGGAGAACAGAAGCTTCGAAGGAACAAACGACAAACCATGTGTTGCGGAAATGTCGTTAATTTCCTCAGCTTTTCTGATTTGTTTGTACGCTGTGTCCAGCATGACTTGCCTTTTTGGCAACTGTGTTGTCCTTCTTGCTATCTATCAAACAAAGACACTCCGCACTGTATCAAATTTTTTCATTGCCTCGCTCGCTGTAGCGGACATTTCAGTGGGTTTTTTCATGAACCCGATTCTGATTTCTAAAGCAGCACTGAATATTTGGCAAGGAAACCATTGGCTTTCAAAACTAGCTGACTTCATGTGGATTCAAACGACAACAAGTTCTACTTTTAATTTATGTTCTGTAAGCATCGATCGATATGTAGCAATTACTGCAGTTTTCAAATACCACCGAATCATGACCCGCAAGAAGTGTTTCGCTGCATTGACTTTGATCTGGCTGTTTTCTTTCCTGTTTGCTTCTGTGAGACTTTTCATCGACAACTCAGCGGATCTTCCAAGACTTTGGATTTCAACTACAGTCTTAACAGTTATCATTCCACTCTTTCTCATCGGATTTTGCTACCTGAAAATTTACTGCGCGGCAAGGACGCAGATCAAGAAAATTGCTGAACGCAAGATAAGCGCGGAAGAAGCGAGATTGTCTGCAATGAACAGAAAAGCAGCGTGGACAGCGGGAATAGTTATTTTTCTTTTTGTGGTCATGTGGTTACCAAGCTTCTTGGCCTCCTGCATCGAGCTTACGACGGCGAATCGCTGTAAAAAGTTAGAAGTTGACTATGCGTGGTTCTGGCTCGCCTTTTTATGCTTTTGCTCATCAGCGGTTAATCCGTGGGTCTACACGATAAGAGTGCCAGAATTTAAAAACACTCTGAGAAGAATTTTGGGTAGGAAACGAATGAGTAGAGAGCTTTCCCGGAGTATAGCTGCGAGTTTTAGGAATTCCAAAAGTAATCCGTCAGCACTTTAAATTTCTCGACACTCCGATGTTTTAAAACGAAAAATGTTTGCTTCGTATCACAGTTTAAGACTGTTAATGTATGTACAATGAATAAAGCGGAGAAGAAAATTGATAAATGATACTTAGAGATCTTAATTTTCATTTCATGCTCGCTGTTCTTGATTTCTTGTGGTTGATCCTATTTGTCACACCTTGAATGCTGAGCATTTACAGCATTTTTATCAACGTTGTTTACCGCACGCCTATTTATGTCAACGTGCATATTTAAAACTTTAATTAGTAATGAGGCAGCTTTGCGGAATCTGTCATTCGTCTTTCTACGAACGACTTGTTAAACGGCAATTTTTAAAGCTTCATTTCCGAGAAAAAAAGTGAAAAATTAAGTAATGAAGCTGGTTATATTGAATTACTTTAGACGAATATGATGTAAGTTTACATAATTAAAAAAGTCTACAAACTAATCAAATCTCTCCATCCCCACACTGAAGAATTTTCATTCAAAAGTTTCAGTCGTGTCAAATTATGTTTAAATCAACCTCAAAATATCCTTACAACAACTTATTTTAATACTGGATAATTTTTTCCTGTTTTTACAGATATATGATATTTGAATTAGCGGTATTGCTGCGGTGGTAAAAAATGTCGATGAATGATTATTCACTTGACTACAAGGCAGAAGTTTCTTCACTCCGACATACACACCGACGGAACTCACCGCAGTTCGCTTTCATGTCTCTTGCAAGTATTTATTTCGGGGGGGTAACATGGCGGATATCAAACAGAAAAGATAAATCGCTCTGTCGATCAGTTAGAAAATCAGAACACAACATTTTTTAAATTTTTTTCCCACGCGCAGAGCGAAGTAAGCCAGTCCAAACGGTAAAAGAGGGATGTCTACTGATAATAATAAAATGATTGATTGCCGCAAACTTTTTTAATCAAATAGCATGTTAGAATTTTAAGGGCAACTCCAATTTAACTCCATCGATAAACCCCTTTATTTTTGCTTTAAAACTACAGAGATCAAATTTGACAGTTTTCGCTTAAAGTTTCGCGTAGGTTTAGTTTGCGGGTTGAAGGTTTGATCTCTCCATATCCTGCATTACCAACTTTTTAGTGATTTTTATTGAACTAGCAAGCTGCACCAAGAATATTAAGACCTATTAATGGCGTAGGCGGTGAAAAGGACTGTCAACTAGGCGAAATCTGAAAGGGAAAAATCTGTGTGTTATGTTTAGTCCTCAGGCACTAGACTACGGATAGTCTTTTCTACGTAAATGTTTTTTGCGCTGATTATTTTTTAGTCGCGCGACAGACTTCGCCAAAAAAAAGAGGGACTACTGGAAGTCTAGTCAGGCGCTTATTAGCAGGTCAGTTCCCCTACGGGTCGTAAAACAAAAAGATAAGGCAAGCACTGTCTGTTCTCACCATTCTTAGGTGCCCGCTATTTCTTTTTGTCTAAGGTCGCTGAGAGGGAGACTTTTAGCCTGTTTGACTGAATAGAATGGTGGAGGAAAATAAGCCATGTAAATGTCTTTTTCAAGAGTTTCACTAATATTTTGCTAATAATTTCTATTGTGAGGAAATTTATTGATTTAGTGGGCAACATGGTATCTCGCTATTTCCTTAAAAGCACTTGAATTTTGTCTAAAAGGGACCTTAGATCTTGAAAACACACCATTTGATGTTTCGTTCTACCCCATACCTAAGGACGCTTACTATTTTAACGGTAGCCTATGCGCAGGTCCTCATCATTAGTATTGCTGGACGAGCGTTTCCTAGCCAGCGATAGGATTTGAGACGGGGTCTGGCACTAATAAAAACAGTGTCTGCGCAATTCTTTCGATACCACAACAACATCATACAACCTTATTTATTCAGGGTCGTTAACTAGAATGGCCTTCAGTTGATTTTGCTGGCTCTTTTACGCTCTTTAATTTGATAACGATGAGCAGTTTTTAGCAGCAGTTTGCCCGCGTTTATCATCAGGAACCCATGGTGATGGGCTCCTGTTGTCATATATTTTACTTTACGTATTTATTTTCCCTCATTCCGTCTGAAAAATCACGATTCGGCACCTGACCTCTCGGTCAAAAAGTGTTCGTTTTTAACATCGGAAATTTTCCATGAATAACCATTCTATATAAGTATGGGTCTTCGCTTTGCGCGCTGCGAGCTCCGCTAGTATATTTAGATTATTTTGCTTTAGAAATGAAAATTTATACTTGGCCTGATGGAAATATGTCTTCATGTAATTGCGTGGAAAGGGAAAACATCACGAGTGCAAGCAATCGTTTTGAAACTCGAGAGATCTCCATATACAACATCGGTTTGCGAGTGACTTTATACGTCACACAAATATATATATATATATATATATATTGGAATATACTTGGAAAAAAGAACGGGCTATTTTCTATGTTCAAAAACTCTCTCCTAATTTTTCTTTACTTGAGAGTAATCGATGCCCACTCTCCAGTTTTTTTGCATTGATTCTTTAATTGTGGTTGGTTTTCATTAAATTGACGTGAACGACCATCGTGACGATTGCCTGAAGACTATGTAATATTTTAAACACCTAACCCTTAGTTGAAAAATCACTCCATAATTTAAGTTGTTAGCTTGATTGCTTTCAGCGATCACATAAAAAATTTGGAGGCGGTCGGTTTGCAGAGAAAATAATTTTCTTTTATTTATTTCTTATGTCTTTGTACAATCCTATTTTACATCTTTTTTTTTTTTGTATTTTTTTTCTCATGCAAATATCATTTGACTTCCAATTAACAGATGTCTTATAGTTAGACATCGTCGCTCGGCAAAACAAACACAGAATATTCACTTTAATCATAAGAGCCTGTTCCCAGCCTAAGCTGTTTTCAAAGAAAATACTCTCTGTAGTTCTTTCCCTAAGGCAAAAAAATTAATATTAATAGTTGTTTTATTTTCCCTTAAACGTAATCGCTGCTACCAAAAATACATTTCAAATTTAATGATATTCACTTTACACCTTGAATATGTTGAATATGGAACTATGTTCAATTGTCAAGTTATTCTCTCGAAAACCTTAAAATAAAGTAGGTTTTTCCTTTCCCTTTTTCTAGAATGAACAATTTAGTAACTGGCGTTTGGTGACCAATTACTTTGCCGCAAATGATCTTGTTTGCTTAAATCCCTGGGATCTCATCTTGGTTTTAAGTTTCTGTCTTCGCCGACCTCTGTTTATTGGCTTCATCGATATCTAAGAAAACGAAACAACAATGACTATGTCGGTTTATTAATTAAACAGGAACAAATGACAGTCATAACAGGTGAATTCAAAAATATGAATTTTCTTTTTCTTTCAGCCGCCGAAGCTTCAAAGCAAACTAAAACTAGACGAACAGTTGCTCCACCAGTTACAAAAATCACCCAAGACTATGAACGAAACAACTTTCCCCCCTGCGATTTCTGCAAGATCTTCGCAATTCATTTTTCTCGCAGCGTTAAGCTGTATTTCTGGAGTTTTATCCATATGTGGAAACATAGTGGTCCTGATCGCCATATTTCGCACCAAATCCCTACATACCATCTCAAATTATTTTATTGCATCGTTGGCCGTTGCTGATCTGATGGTGGGAATTCTCCTCAACCCCATCTTGGCTGCGAAAGCCGTCATTTTCAGCTATCTGGATCCCGAACGCCCTCTAAAAGGGTCTGTATTCGACAAGGTGGAAGACTTTGCGTGGATCCAAGCTGTTGTTGCGACAACTTTCGGCCTGACAGCCATTAGCATTGATCGCTATATCGCTGTGAAATTTGGGTTCAGATACGAAACCCTAATTACTCCTAAATTCTGCCTCCTTGCAACAGCTTCTGTGTGGCTCGGCTCGTTCGTCTTTGCCAGCGTTCGGCTATTTCTTGATAAACCCCAAGATTTATCGACACTTTGGCTCATTATGGGAGTCATAACATGTATTTTTCCGACTCTAATCATAACATTTTGTTACATGAGCATTTTCAGGGAAGCGAAACAACAAATTCGGAAAATCAAACAAGAAAGCTCACTTGCAGCGAGACAAGAACAAACGCGTCGTAATAACCCGGCTGGTGTTAGCCACACGAAAACTGCTTTTACAGTTGCCATTGTGATTCTACTTTTTATAATTCTGTGGGTGCCAAGTTTGGCCACCGCGGCCACTCAGTTCAGCCTATCAGGGTCAAACAAACCTAAAGATCAAGTAACTTTGGTGAAATTAGAGCGCGAAGTTTGGATGTGGGTGTCCTTAGTGGCTTATCTGAGTTCAGCCAGCAACCCTTGGGTCTACTCTATTCGTTCCAGAGAATTCAGAACTGCTTGTAAGAAAATTTTCAATTTCTTTGGGAGCCATTCTAGAGTGGAACATTTCTCTGTAACTGCAAGCGAGTTTACTGTTGGTTTATGAAACTAGACAATATCTAAGTCGCCTCACCTACTGAAGACGTAAACGTTTGCATGCTGGAATTGAGATTTATTAGCTCTAAATTTTAAAAATGTAAGAAAATTAACCCTTTCTATGTTATTTATTTGCCTCACTGCAGAGGGATAAAAATAGATCAAGAAATGATAACGAGAAAAAGACTCACATCCCACGTCGGGAAAACAAACATGTCTTTTCTTTTCGTTCCATTTTTCAATAAGCAAAGTCAGGATGCGTTCTATAATCGGTCTTAATCCTCTCAATCATTTGTCTTACCGCTCCTTTGGGTATCCTCTTTATTCTTGGATGGCTTAGCGTAATCATCGAAAAATTGATTCACAATGTTGTATTGGTTCTTTTTTTCGCGATTCCCATTATTGCTTTCGTAATAGGTGCCATTAAGTATGCAATTTAAGGAGAATCATTCGTTGAAATTACAAGGTAGAGTCAATAACTTTATTATTTTCTAAATAGTAACCAAAGAGATCGTCTTATGAAGATAGCTAATTTTTTATATACAAATATAAAAGATGCTATAATATTTCATCTTCTTTGTAAGTTTGGAAAGATCACTGAGTCAAGACATTGCAAACATTCGTAAAATACGTTCATAGCCATTTAGTCAGTTGATTTTCAAAGCTTTTTTTTTTCATTGACCACAAAGCTCTTCATTAAAAAAGCGCATCACGTACCTGTTCCATAGTTGAATTCGCGCTTGCTGGTGGCCAATTTTTAAAAATGAAGTAATTAATGTAGAATTTCAGTGTTTATGGGATAGTCCTTTTGAAATAAAAAACATTTCTTATCATCAAAGCAATCGCGTTACTGGAGTCGCAATAAAGCGTTCGTTTGATAGTTACAGTGATTTTATTCTCTCAGCTTTCGCTTGAAATCGTTTGTTACGTCTCATAATTTAACCAAAAATTAGCGCTTGACGCCTGTCGACTGAAGCTGCAAATATTTTAATGATGAGTTGTTCTTAACTGATCCTGATCCCAAAGACATGCTAATTTTTTTCATCTGTTTTGTTATGATCAGTCACTTTTTAATCAGTTTTTATTTATTTATCGTTAGCTGCCAAATACAGCTTACAGCAATGTTCTATTGAATGTCTGAAGTCATTCATGATTGCCCTGGATTTTCTTTTCAATGCTCTGTGATTGGTCTATAGGGATCTCGCACCTGGCTCTACACCAACAACACCAACCATATTCACCAACAACTAGCAGAAGATTTCTCTTGCAGACAACTAACTTCGAATTCCTTAATAAACCTTCCATACAAACCTTATATTAGGACTAAGAATAAAATGTTAAGCTGACGTTACTATGTCAAACTATCTTGTCCGTTAATTTTTTTGCTGGAACACATCAAGATAGCTCGTAATAATAAGTGGAAACTTTAAGAAAGTAAATAATAACAAGAGACTGAGTGGACTCAACATGATTATTAAGATCTTAACCTGAACAAAATTGCTATCTATTACCTAACTGCACTAAGCAGAGTACAAAAAGCAGAGTACAGATATATCCAGCGATATAATACAATTGGTTATTTTGTGTTGTAAAAAGAAACCTGTCAACCGTTCAGCTGCGTGTGCTACACTTCCCCCTCCTCTTTCCTTTCTCTCGCCCTAGAAGAATTGCATATGAAATAAAGCAGTTGAATAATAAACAGCTTAGTACACATTTTGGTGTGAACACCTTCCCGAAATGGTTGGTCTGATCCATTAGCCTCGCAAGAAAACCCTGTTTCTAGGATAGAAATCTCTCATTGAAAAGTTCATCATTGTTTTAAATCAAGTTTGACACCGGTAGATTTTAATTTTTATACAACGGAAAGCCTTATAAAATTGTCTACAGAAAAACTCTTTATCTGATGCACTTTTTTTTGAAGCAATATTTTATAAAGGTAAAAGAAAACCAATGAATCGTTTGAAATTGTGAATTCTTGAAAGATGAAATCATACGAACCGACCGACTTGGACCGGTACATAACCTTTTTTTCTGCTGGTTAGCTTTTTTTCGGCGTTACCGCGAATGGTGCGGGAAATATTCCGGACCGTGATCCGTATTGCAAAAAGCTGCACTGGAAAACAATTATGTATAGCATAGTGGAGCTTCAAGTGCGCGCTGCAAAGCTCCATGCCTGCAAAAAAACGTTATAACTCGCCAAGCCGAGAAAACTTGGTAGCGTACGATCGTGTGACCGTACCTTCATGGTACTACTTTAAGCGTGCACGGCCAACTGCAGTGTGGGTACGTCTACACCATAACACCACTTTTATTCAGCAGACGTTTCAGCAAAACGCGTGCACTACACTTACACACTATAAAGCCGAGAAAATTTGTTAGCGTGACTGTACGTTCGCAGGAACAAGTTGCTCTAGTAAGCATACGTGAACAACTGTACTTCAGGAACAAATCTTGACATTATATCTGTCGAAGAGGAAAGGAGAAGGCAATACGCTAGGGCGCGTGCTTGTGTTGGGAGAAAATACTATGCGCATACGTTAGTAAACATAGGAGCGGCCTGATACGTTGCGACCACTCCATCGCAGTGTCCAAGTTCATCGTAATGGCAATCATCACTCAGTTGGAGCTAACAAAATTAACAATTCGATCATTCCAGCCCGCCACTTGTACACCGAAAACTCAAACACCACATGATTCGTTTGGAGAATTTTGCCAACCTACGATGTTGTATTAAGAAGAATGTAATTCTTCCTATAAAAATAGGCTTATAATATGTTACAATCAAAATTGAGACAGTCTAGGTTTTCGGCATTTTGAAAGATGTGACAAGAAAACATCGGAGAGTAACCAACAGAAAAAGCAGAAAACATCAATGACAATCGCTAACTTCAGGTTTCAATAACACACTTTAATAAGAATGAAAGGTATCCACCAAAAATTATGATCAGTGTAGCTTATATTGCACGCATAAAATGAAATAAAATATTGAGTCTCAATTTTTCTTCCTGTATAGCTTTTTCTTTTTGGGGTTCTCCCAGACTCGTTTGTTTGACTGAGGCTGACGTCTGGGTGGTAATCTCCATGAAGCCTCTTCAGCTTCTTTCCATTCTTTGTAAGCTTGCCTGAAAGGAAAAATTGCAGCAA